CATAGAATTATGAAGGATACTACATGTGAATCATATTCTTTGAAACTTCATGCCCTAGAACAGACATTTTTCGCTCAGACACTGGCTTATACATTTGGTATATTGATTCATATTTTCGCCCTCAAGTTATATGAAACCCATACTCTTGTCAAAATTGGTTCCGGCCTGGGGTCACTTGGTTTACGAGGCTTATGTAGGAAACACATTTAAATACTTTTCCTGTGAAATACATGGCAGTGAGCTTAGCTACCATTGTCTTGTGGACTTCTACAATAAAAGCGCAGAAGGCGCTGAATTTGTTTGGGTCTCAGAGTGTCAGAAAGGTGAAGGTTGTGAGATTATAAACCAATTTGTTTTTGTATAGTGCCACAAATGCTTTCCAATGTTTTAACTGTATTAAATTGGCTATAAGACTACTTGCAACACTGATATTCAATTCAATGTTTATTTGATTTAAACAATTTTAAAAAAACTGAGTTGCACTAATTTGGATTTGAATTCCAGACCACTCGATTCCTAAGAGAGTGTGCAAACCCCTCGGCCACGATGAAGTTATATGATAACGGCCTGAAGAAAACCATATTATTCTAAATTATGGTTTATTATTTCGACGCTAAACCTGTTGTTTAACACAGATGTAAATAATCATGGAGCTTACTATTAGCATATTTATAAAGAATAAAACAACATTAGAAATCTTCGACCATTCGGGAACTATGTTGCTTGAAAATTAATGCGCCTGTCATTTGACAATCTTTACGCAGTGATCGCCCCAGAATTTTTCGGCGTTAGTGTACGTATAAAGGGAAGTAACCGCTTCAAAAAAGCCGACTACTTTCGGCATTTGCAATTAACAGCACCAGGGTCTGAAATTTCGCTACCATTATTTGTTTGGTCTGACGACCCAAACAAATAAAAATGATATAAATCATGGCCCAAGGTCAAAAATGGAATTGCCAAAAATAGAATCCAACGAGTTATTGATTTTTTTTTCAGACCCCCCCCCCCCCCCAAAAAAAAAAAGTCAACACAATTCATTCCAAATAGATATAAATATTTTTATTTATTTATTTTTTTTGGGGGGGGGGGAGGGTGGTGTCATTCTGCACAATACAAATTATAATGGGGTGAGGGAATGACCTGCAAATTTTGACCCAAGTTATTGGTCTAGACTTACTTAAATTGATACACAAATCTCGGAAAAATAATTTAAGTCTCATCATGTCAAAAAAGTTAGTTAGGACCCTTTATGATAAACACTTGCAAAGGTACTTAGTGAAAATAAAATAGACAATAACACTCATATAATTATATAACATTATATGTACAAAATAGTTTACTTGTATTTGATTTTTGCCATATTAATCATCATTTGAATAAACTCAAAAACAACGAATATGTCATCGCGTATTCAATTCTTATAACACACAAAACATTACATTATTCAATTTCCAAAAACACTATATTTTGTGATCAAAATACTTTATCTAATATAAAAAAAAGATATTGATAGCATGTGATATATTGTATAAAAATAGATAATTTAACGTTTGACCCCCATATTATTCTCTGCAAAACTTGTTTTATTTACATTAATAAATTATGAGCGCCCTTGAAAACACTTTAAAGGGTATAAATCTGTATCTAATGAAATATTTTTATGAAATGTATTAACAGAATTATTATATTGTTACTATTATCTTATGGTAGATTCTCGAAGATTTTGTTACTCATGAATGTTATGCGTAAAAAGAATAAAATGTTCCGAAAAAAAATTATATGCTATGATTTCGTGCGTGAGCCATTCGCTTTTAATGCAATATAATACCATATCATTTTTAATACAAGCATTTTTGAAGTATTTTTTCGACAATTAAAAAAAATTTTGTTTTTTTCCTGCAAATATATAGTTTTATATACTTAAATCAATTTATGATAAAATAATAAAATAAGCGTTGCACATTATGAAAATGAAATGTTACTTGTTTTGGTAACATGACTGATATATCTAATGAAATTTAAACAAAATCTGATATCATTTACGAATTTACGAATCAATCGTATGGTATAGAGTTAGGATTTGGAAATTGACATATCAAGCATTTTAGCGATGGCTTCCATTTAGTAATTCTATCAAAATGATATCTTGCGCATTTAGTTCTTGTTCGTGAAAAAATGTTTGCCGTAAATGTCATTTTATATCTATCTCTTAACCTCTATTATCCATGGCATCGGTAAAGTAACTTTTCCATTTTTTTCATTTCAACTAATTTTTTACTGCATTCACCAAATTCATCCCTTATTAGATAAAAAAAAATCTAACTTTTCTAATCATCTGACAATTACAACTCAATGCACCCAATTTATAGCTTTACAATAATATCAAGAATTAAAGTTAATTTCCTCGTGCACTATACTTATGTTCACAGTTTAATTGAACTTTGATATCAGCTGACCTAGATTTTGATGAATTGGTCTACTTTCTTGTCCTTTGATGTACAACTATGAAATTTGGACCACGTGCACAGTTGTAGCTGGAAAAGTGAACTTTGGTATCAGGTGACCTAGATAAATTGATGGATGACCTACCTTCTTGTGTATAAAATTTGGAACATGTGCGCAGTTTCAGATATATAATTATATATTTGAATATCCCTCGTACATTTAGTACTTGCACTCTTTTCATATTTTTGTCTGTATCAAGGTCCACCTCAAACGTCTATATAGGAAAAGGGACAAAGCCTACAAACAGTACAAGGGCCATAACTCAAAAAAATCTAGAGAAAAATGTCTCAGCATTAAACATCTCTGCAGAAAAGAAACTAAGTTAGCCTATCAAAATTACTTAGAAGATATACTAAACATTAACAACATCTCTCAAGAACATGAACAAACACAAACCAGACCAAACACCAAAAAGCTATATTCGCTATTAAAACACTCAAAACAAGATTCTTTTGTCATTGACTCACCGAAAAAACACAATAAACTGTATACGTCAGATCAAGACAAGGCAACAGTACTAAATAAACAATTTCAATCAGTTTTCACTCCTAAATCCCCTGTTTCTCTTAAATTCCTGGCTGATATGAAGGTACAGAATCAGGCAGATACAGGTAGAGAGGTTCCCCACACATCATTTAGCCCCAATAACCCCATGCGTGATATTGATATCTCTGTAAAAGGTGTTGAGAAGCTTTTAAAAAAACCTCAACCCCCATAAGGCTGCAGTCCTGACCTAATCAAATTAGACCCATTGTGCTCAAAAATATCAGTAAAGATTTAGCCCCTATAGTGTCCAAACTTTTCCAGAAATCACTACAGTCCAGCACTCTACCAGACATCTGGAAAACGGCAAATGTCGCCCCTGTCTTTAAAGAAGGTAGCAAGTCAGACCCAGCCAACTATCGCCCTATCTCTCTTACCTGTATCTTGTGTAAAATCCTGTAACACATATATAGTCTCCTCCAGTATAACAAAGCACTTTACTAGATCAAACTTGTTCTATGAATTGCAGCATGGTTTCCGAGAAAAAAGGTCATGTCAATCCAAATTATTAATGCTTATAGATGATATCCTACAGTCATTAAATCAGAGAAGCCAAGTAAACTTAATCCTTCTTGACTAATCTAAGGCCTTTGATATGGTCAACCATGAAAAACGTCTGTATAAGCTGCATTTCTACGGTATTAGGGGTCAAACTCTTCAATGGATCAAAGGTTTTCTTAATAACAGGTCACAGTCCGTGGTGGTAAATGGCTCCACATCCAGCTCCATACCAGTCTCCTCCGGTGTTCCACAGGGCTCGGTCCTCGGACCTCTCTTATTTCTTATATACATCAATGACCTTCCTGAATATGTCCAGCCTATTTGCCGATGACACGGCCATCTATCTATCTCTGACTGTCGCTTCTCATTCTAGCTTACTGCAACATGACTTACACCAACTTGAACAATGGGAGACAAAATGGGACATTCAATTTAATCCATCAAAATGCCAGGTTATCCAAATCACAAAACGAAAAACAGTCATTCCAACACAATACCTCCTACATAACACCACATTAGAAACAGTTCCATCTGCAAAATACCTTGGCATTACAATATCAAATGATCTAACTAGGAACAAACACATAAACAACACCACAACAAAGGCGAATCAAACACTTGGTTTTCTACGCCGAAACATCAAAGTTCACCCAGAAAGGTTAAAGACAACCGCATACAAGATACTTGTCAGGCCCCAGCTCGAGTACAGCTCCACGGTCTGGTCCCCCTACACAGGAACTCTCATTGACCAGATAAAGTCTGTCCAGAGAAGGGCTGCTAGGTGGGCCAAATATGACTTCGGCCGTATGTCAAGTGTCACTGACATGCCTTGACCTTCGCCTGGTCATGTTTCACAACATCTTGCATGACCAGGTGGCTATCCCTTTCCCAAAGTATATCATCCCTCTTACAAGATCATCTAGAACATCCCATCTCTATGCATTCCAGCAAGTCCAAACTAAAACCAGAGACATAGATAATCTATATCTCTGCTAAAACTGATTACTATTAATATTCATTTTTCCCCAAGAACAATAGTCCACTGGAATGCTTTACCACCTGTTATCATAAACTTGTCTGGCCCTGAGTTCAGTCTGGCTGTAAGCCGGACTGAACATACGTCTCCCTAAAATACCTATTCTGTTTTAACCTGTCTTTAACAATATACTCATTTAATTCCATTACTTTTATATTCTTTTATTTCAACTCTTTAAATAATTAACATTCTTGTCAGTTGACGCGCGTCAAGACTATGTCCCCAGCAGGGGTTTGACGACAGATAGATATCCTTTTATTTATCAGGAATATCAAGATAGATTTCAAAGTAGATTGCCATTCTTAACCATGTATGGTCCGATTGCCCAATTAACGGCGCCTAATTGATAACAAGTTCTTTTGTTTTGTTTTGTTTTCTTTCTTTTGGACTGTATTTTCCTCACGTTGGGGTAGAAAGTCGAGTAATGTCCCTTTGCCGGTATTCTCCAGTAGGACAAGAAAAAGAAAAACAATTTATTTCGACTTTTAAAATGTAAGAATAACAATTCTAAATAAAAAAATTAACATTTTAATGTATATGAATAATTCTTTTTATCAAAGCACAAATCATGATGTGTCATTTTACTTGTTATACGATGGTAATAAATTAGATATTTGTCACATGTTTTCACGACTTAAAATATTTCTTAAAAAATTTATGCGCTTATATTCAACTATTTTACATAAGCTACAGTAAAACTCGCTTTTCTACCACCCGGATTTTGAGACCATCCCCATATAGGCCATAATAACATTTTTTTTTCAGACCCTAATATTGTCGGTCAAAAACGATACATAGCTTATGTATTGTGAAAGGAAGTGGCTAGCCATTTGTGAGTAACGTACGGCTAGCTAGGACACACTGTATTGGCTAGATGTACGGCACTTTTCAAAATTATATGAAAGTCGAAAATGCATATTTTATTTTATGAATTTTAGGGAGGATTTTAACAAAGAAACAGCAATTAGTGCCAGCCCTTAGTATGTTTACTTTCTAGAGATTAATTTGCCATGTTGGCTACAGTAAAGAAAGTACGAATATCGATCTTTGTCATCGCCAGATGGCGAGAAAAAAAGAGCGTTTGGTTGCAGTTGAATATCAAAATTGTGATAATTGTGATTATGGAAAGGAATTAATATAAGTGTTATGCTTGTTTTCCAATCCATATATATTGTGATGTAAAAATGTTACATGCTTGTAAAAATTGATGAATAAAATATGTTTAAACTAAAATTGTGATAATAATCCTGTTTTGTTTCAATAAGTTTAATTTTCAACTCATTTAAAAATGAAAAGCTTCGAAAATAATAGTTGCTGGGCTCTGATAATTGTGTCGGTAGCAAGACACTTCACCCCCAGACACTTCACCCCTTAAATTTTGGAAGACACTTTACCCCTCAAGACACTTCACCCCCCCCCCCCCCCCCCCCCCCCCCCCCCCCCCCCCCAAAAAAAATCAGTGAGACACTTCACCCCTCATTCAAACAACAGTGTGTCCTGGCTAGTCCTACGTGAGTCAAGTACGGCTAGAACTTTTGGCTAGCCGTACGGGCCTGTACGGCTAGCCACTTCCTTTGTGAAATGTTATATATATATATATACTGACAATAAATAAATTTTGATTTGATTTGATTTTGTGTTTCAATGATGGTAAATCCCAATAACCAAACTATCCTGTTATTTTAAGGGAAGTTGTGGCCTAGTGGTAAAGGTGTCTGCCTCTCTACCTAGGGATCATGGGTTTGAGCCCTAATCAGTTCACAATCATGTTTCTTCATAAGACACCAGTACTGGATGGTTCCAGGAAGTGGACACAAAAGTGATTAATATTAGTTGCAAGAACTTGTTTAGCAATCAAGCTTAAACCTAGTTCATTTAGTCTCGTTTTGTACATCATGTACATTTGTTAACAACTAAATACGACTTCAGGCTCTTTCTCATCTTGTTATGGATGTGCATGTGTATTGCTGAACGTGATGTAAACAGTTGTCCTATTATGACATTGTACCACATCCACTTTACATTTAAAATGAAGGTTAGTTTGTATAAAACGCGGGAATTGGTCGCTAATTGCTAATTGTTGTATTTCACGCCTTTAAATTCTTGATTGTTGGATTAGAATGATATATTAGTAATAGTCTAGAACGATGCTGAAATGATATTTTTATCTGATAATGCACAAGAATAAATTAGGAAAAGGATTATTGCAAATTAAAACAAGGCTTTACCAACATGTCTTAATCTTGTTAGGTTGCATAACATGTCTGATCCACAACTTTAATGCCGCATCAGATGAAAGTTATAAAGTTTTGGAAGACAAAACTATTAAACAATATTCCTGTTTGTTTAAACAAAATGACATATAACTGAACATAAACAATATAATTGTGCCGCGTCACAACAAAACCAACATAGTGCGTTTGCGACCAGCATGGATCCAGACCAGCCTGCGCATCCGCGCAGTCTGATCAGGATCCATGCTGTTCGCTTACCAACCCTATTACAAGTAGAGAAACTGATAGCAAACAGCATGGATCCTGATCAGACTGCACGGACGCACTATGTTGGTTTTGTTGTGACGCGGGACAATTATATCTGTAAAAATGAATTTTATCAAATCTTATTGACTTATATCTCCTGAAATACAGTTATGAAAATTCTTTTTTCCCCTAGTGATATCTCCAGTTTCTACTTGTTCAGGCCATAATCTAATTTATGTTTTAAGCAGTGGACATTACAAATATTGTTGTCAATCATATTATTGAGGGAAACAGGATTCTATTTTAGAATTTCAGATGCAGATTTACACCTAAAAGGCCATGGATAGGAGAAATCCAGAATGTCATCCACTATTTACACTAGAAGAGGTGTTGTCATGGCAACAAAATGAGGATAAATTATGTGTAGCTAGAATACCTAAAAGACAGAGAAAACCCCAAGACAAGCCAAAGTTACTTGTGTGTCATGACTTCAAAGGAGGTTATTTAGAAGACAGGTCTGTTTTATTTTCTCATGACTTCTGTTAATAATTTTAAATGACTCGTATCTGAAATTTACTATCTAGATATGCATTTTGATGGTTTCCTGAAAAGAAAAAACAACAACTTTTTTGAAGGTTAACTAAAACAAAAGTAACAACATCATTTAACTTGCATGTCACATGTTTGCCAGAAGAGAGTGACATAAAGAATGGTTGATGATCACTCTGCTTACAAGTAGTAGAGAGAGTTTTCATGTGTCTTATTGAAAGCAGCACGCCTCCAGATTTATGCCAATTTTCATGAAAATTTTGAAATGTGTTTAAAAGTATTATTTAGTGAAATAAGCAAAAGGAAGCAATTTACACATTATAAGTAAAGTGGCACTTACAACCCATGTAAATTACTAAAAAGAGGACGAAATATGCAAAAATAGCCCTTACTGCGTTAGTAACGCAGTGGAAATATAGTTATAAATACTGAAAAATCAGTCATTTATCGCACATAAGTTAACATGTAAATTATCACTTGAATCTTGAATTTTTTTACTTTTCCTTAAAAGTACATATTTCTCAAGTTTGATTTTATTGAAATATTTTTGCTCATCTGGAGGCATGCAGCTTTGAAACAATTGCTTCATGTCAAAAGTGATTAAATAACCTCAATAACATGATTATGAAATTTTTTAAATATTTATCAAGTTACAAGAAGTTAGTATAGTTATTTTTAGATCTTATAGATGTTATATTTTCTATATTATCTCCTTAGACTTGTACAAGGCTGTGGTAGACCTAATGCATATCGTTTCTATCACTGGCATCTGGTGGATACATTTGTGTACTTTAGTCATTACTTTGTAACAATACCTCCTCCAGCATGGACTAATGCCGGTCATCGACATGGTGTCACTGTACTAGGTTAGTTTATGTCATAACTTTTTGTCCCCCGCCTTTTCGAAGAAAAAAGGGGGATATAGAAATAGGCTCCGTCCGTCTGTCTGTCCGCACTCACAGGAGAGTAATTATGTGGCTAGAGGGACAATAGGTAACTGTTCTTTCTCTTTGATGTCATTCATTCCGTAATGCTTTTATGTGGCTATTTTCTTTTGTGTGGCTAAAAAGAACAATAGAGAGAACAATAGAGTAGCCACATAATTACTGTCCTGTGAGAACGTCCGTCTGTCCGTCCGTCCGTCACACTTTCGTGTCCGGTCCATAACTTTGTCATTTATGAAAGGAATTTGAAATAACTTGGCACAAATGTTTATTATAATAAGACGATGTGTCATGCGCAACAACCAGACCCCTACCTCCAGGGTCAAGGTCACACTTGCTCATTCAAGGTCAACATTGCCTATTTGAGTGTATATGTCGTGTCCGGTCCATAACTTTTTTATCTATGAAGGGATTTTGTAAATACTTGCCATAATTGTTCACAATAATCAGATGATGTGTCATGCGCAAAAACCAGTCACCTACCTTTAAGGTCAAGGTCACACTTGGAGGTCAAATATTAACATAGTCTGTTACAGGGTATATTTCGTGTCCGGTCTATAACTTTGTCATTTATGAAAGGAATTTGAAATAACTTGGCACAAATGTTTATTATAATAAGACGATGTGTCATGCGCAACAACCAGACCCCTACCTCCAGGGTCAAGGTCACACTTGCTCATTCAAGGTCAACATTGCCTATTTGAGGGTATATGTCGTGTCCGGTCCATAACTTTCTTATCTATGAAGGGATTTTGTAAATACTTGCCATAATTGTTCACAATAATCAGATGATGTGTCATGCGCAAAAACCAGTCACCTACCTTCAAGGTCAAGGTCACACTTGGAGGTTAAATATTAACATAGTCTGTTACAGGGTATATTTCGTGTCCGGTCCATAACTTTGTCATCAAAGGAATTTGAAATTACTTGGCACAAATGTTTGTTATAATAAGAGGATGTGTCATGCGCAACAACCAGATCCGTACCTTCAGGGTCAAGGTCGTACTTGCTCATTCAAGGTCAACATTGTCTATTTGAGGGTATATGTCGTGTCCAGTCCATAACTTTCTTATCAATGAAGGACTTTTGTAAATACTTGCCATAATTGTTCACAATAATCAGATGATGTGTCATGCGCAAAAACCGGTCACCTACCTCCAAGGTCAAGGTCACACTTGGAGGTCAAATACTTACATAGTCTGTTACAGGGTATATTTTGTGTCAGGTCTATAACTTTTTCATAGATCAAAGGATTTTGAAAATACTTCGCACAAATAATCACTATAATAAGAGGATGTGTCATGCGCAACACCTGCATCCCTACCTCCAAGGTCAAGGTCACACTTAGAGGTCAAAAATTAACATACTGTTATAGGATATTTTTTGTGTCGAATCTAGAACTTCTTCATAGTTCAAGGGATTTTGGAATAACTTGGCACAAATAGTCACAATAATAAGCCGATATGTCAGGTACAACACCTGCACCCCTACCTCTTAAGGTCAAGGTCACACTTAGAGGTCAAAGGTTAACAGAGTCTGTTATTTGGTATATTTTTTGTCCCGTCCATTACTTCTTCATAGATTAAGGGATTTTGAAAATACTTTGCACAAATAGTCACAATGATAGATGATATGTCATGCGTAACATCTGTGTCCCTACCTCCAAGGTCAAGGTCACACTTAGAGGTCAAAGATTTACATAGTCTGTTATAGGGTATATTTTGTGTCCAATCTATAACTTCTTCATAGTTCAAGGGATTTTGAAAAATACTTGGCACAAATAGTCTCAATAATAAGACGTTATGTCATGCACAACACCTGCTCCCCTACCTCCAAGGTCAAGGTCACACTTAGAGGTCAAAGCTTAACATGATAAATTTTTAAATTCCATGTTTCATTTTATTTTTTTAACAAATTTATTGTTACATTTGCAGATCTAGCATTGATCATAATTTTGGACTGAATGTCCTGAGATCCATACCTCAATCTTTTGAAATAGCACAATTTTATGCTTCATAGAAAACACCCGGGGCGGGGGACGTTGGTAACTCTGTTACAAATTCTTGTTATAAAGTTAAATCTATCATCTATGTGAGTTCAGGACAGGTGATGATGTGATATCTGTTTACGGTAACATTAGTATATATTGCTACAACTATGACTTGAAAGGTTATTGCTAATTAATTGTTATATATTTCAATATTTGAATAATGTTGGCTGATTCCTATGGTATATTTTTATTTCAAATGTAGCTCTAATATACTTCTCCTGATACGCTTTTAGAAATCTGTGACACAATGTTACTGCATATTTTCATCAACATAATTGTCACGTAGAAAAATTTCTGTAAGCATTATGAGAAAAGTAAGAGTTACAATTCAAAGTTAAGTTCCACTGGAATCGGCAAATATCTGCCTGGAAAATGTTATGTTTCTACTCACAAATTGAAAGATATAACAAAAAAGGCAAAAAAGTTAAGGGTGAAGCTATTAGCAGTGACCCAGTGAAATTAATATAAATCATGCCCCTTGGGTCAAAATTTGCTCACCCTGGGGTCTCTTGATTATAGGAAAACTCATTTAAGTCAACTACAAAGCTCAGAGCTTAGATATTTGGCATGGAGCAATAATTTGTAGATTTGTACATAAGTTATATTTCTAAATGACCTTGACCATCCAGGCCAAGTTTTCAAAATTAAGAAAATTCAACAAGAATATTATCGTTTATTAAAAGATTTAGGAAAGGGGCATTCATGACTTGTGTGAAGTATTCAATACCTTTGCCATTTTTATTATACTGGATTGATTTAATGCGGGTTATTGAAATAAAAAATTTTAAAACATATTCTCCTATTTGTAATAATTAAAAAAAAAATTCTTTACTACGTATGTACATGTTCAATGTTAAGGCACTGAAGGCATTGAAGATTTTATGTTGCAGGGACTGTAATTACGGAGTGGAATGATGGGAAAGCTCGTTGTGAGGAATTTTTGAAGACAGAGGACTCGTACAAACAATTTGCAGATCAGCTTGTTCAGATTTCAAAGTATTACGGTTTTGATGGCTGGCTCATCAATATAGAAAACAAGATTGAGGTTAAAAAAAGTTTTCTAAATATTTTTTTATTGTTTAAAAAGTTATAAAATATTTCTATAAAATCAATCAACAGTAAAATATTATTGTTTGCCTAATGTTATGGTCATGTCTGGAAAGAGTTGGCATAGAATGTCTCTGTTAACTTGATTAACACACATGAATACTGTACGTAAACAGATCAAAATGTTCCAGAACAAAATATTATTCTGCTATTGAAAGTAGATTTTTATCTGTTTAGCAATGATTTTGTGCATGCACCATTTGCTTAAAGGCAATTTACTACCATATTTCTTTCATACAAGCATGCTGGAAGTATTCTTTTTAAAAATTCAAACAAAAAGTTTTGCAGTATATATATACATCTAGCTTTATACACTTTAAACATAAAAACATTAAACGTTCTCTTGAGTTTTTAGGTAATAGAAAGGTAATACAATATATGGTATAAGTAAAAAATGCCAGAATATTTCAAAGATTGAACTTCTGAAAATCTGCACAAATCTGAAATTGGCCTTGGTTTATGTAGCTTGGTAGGGACATTGCTATGGTCTGTATATAACCCCCTAACATTTGAGGTCATTATGTCAAGGTTATAGGACACTTGATGAGAAATCCTTGTCTAATCAATAACTAGAGTTTTATTAGTCATATGTTAATAACTGTTATATTATATTTGACCTTTATGAATGTTTTAAAAGTATGTATATGCCTTCTTTATGTAAGGCAAGTGAAGCAAGGCATCAGTTTTATATAGACACATTCTAGTTTTTTTTCTTGTATAGACTGAAGAGCTTGTGAGAAACCTGACTGGCTTTATGGAATATTTGACGAAGGAACAGCACAAGCATGTACAAGGATCACAGATTATCTGGTATGACAGTGTACTAAATACAGGAGAGCTTGATTGGCAAAATGCTCTAAATGACAAAAACAGGTATGTTAGTATACACTATATCAAAAAACAAAACCTTCATGCCACAAACAGAATTTTAGTCCTTAAACTTACTAATGTACTGACCATACTTTACCTTTCTTACTTTACCTTATTTTACCTTACATTACCTCAACCCAGCTCAGATCACTGACTTATTTCCTTACCTTAGAAATGTATAAACTTACTGAAATACACTTTCTTTTACTTTCTCTCACTTTTTAGCTTTTGTGTTCTCTTTTCGTTCGGCGTGCGTTCGTCTGTCCATCCGTAAACTTTTACTTTAAATGACATCTCCTCATAACCGCTGAGCCAATTTCATCCAAACTTCACAGGAATGTTCCTTTGGTGGTCACCTTTAAAAATTGTTCAAAGAATTTAATTCCAGAACTCCGGTTGCCATGGCAACTGATAGAAAAAACTTAAAATATCTTCTTTTAAAAAAACCCATAAGGTAGAGCTTAGATATTTGGCATGAAACATCTTCTAGTGAGTGTCTATCACGTTTGTTCAAATAAAAGCCCTGGGGTCAAAATTGGCCCTGCCCCGGGGGTCATTGATTTTCCTTATATGCATATAGAAAAAACTTAAAAAATCTTCTTTTAAAGAACCCAAAGAGCTAGAGCTAAGATATTTAGCATGAAACATCTTCTAATGGGTGTCTACCAAGTTTGTTCAAATAAAAGCCCTGGGGTCAAAATTGGCCCCGCCCCGGGGGTCATTGATTTTCCCAATATGCTTATAGTAAAAACTTAAAAAATCTTCTTTGAAAAAACCCAAATAGCTAGAGTTTTAGTTACTTAGCATGAAACATCTTCTAGTGAGTGTCTACAAAGTTTGTTTAAATAAAAGCCCTAGGGTCAAAATTGGCCCTGCCCCGGGGGTCATTGATTTTCCTTATATGTTTATAGCAAAAACTTAAAAATTACTCTTTGAAAAAACCCAAATAGCTTGAGTTTAGATACTAAGCATGAAACATCTTCTAGTGAGTGTCTACCAAGTTTGTTCAAATAAAAGCCCTGGGGACAAAAATGGCCCTGCCCCAGGGAGTCATTGATTTTCCCTATATGCATATAGTAAAAACTTATAAAATCTTTTAAAAAACCCAAAGAGCTAGAGCTAAGATATTCAGCATGAAACATGTTCTAATGGGTGTCTACCAAATTTGTTCAAATAAAAGCCCTAGAGTCAAAATTGGCCCTGCCCTGGGGGACATTGATTTTCCTTATATGTGTATAGCAAAAACTTTAAAAAAATCTTCTTTGAAAAAACCTAAATAGCTAGAGTTTAGATATTAAGCATGAAACATCTTCTAGTGAATGTCTACAAAGTTTGTTCAAATAGAAGCCCTGGGGTCAAAACTTGCCCCAGGGGTGTCATTGCTTTTAACTAAATGTGTATAGTTAAAACTTAAAAAATCATTTTTTTTAAAACTCAACGAGCTAGACCTTAGATGTTTAGCATGAAACATCTTCTAATGGATGTCTAACAGGTTTGTTCAAATAAAAGCCCTGGGGTTTAAACTGGCCCGCTCTGGGGGCCTATATACAGGTGAGCGACTTCAGGGCCATCATGGCCCTCTTGTTACTTATTATTACTTACTGAACATTACATAACTTTACTTACTTCGTTTACTACCTTACTTTACATTATCTTACCTCACTTGAACTTACCTTACCATACTTCCAGTGTCAGCATAGCACTTTAACAAATGAAATGTAAACTAGAAATAAGACTAAAATGATCTCTCTTGCATCTGTTGATATGTATACAACATATGTTTCACTTATAACCTGTATATGTTATAGGAAAAGTATCCACTTTCTCTGATATTTACTACTACTATTTACAGACAATTTTTTGATGGTTGTGATGGGATATTCTTGAATTACTGTTGGAAAGATGAACATTTAGAGAGTTCTAGAGTTACAGCTGTAGAAGCAAAGAGACCGTTTGATGTGTATGTGGGGATAGACAGAGTTTGGAGAGGCTGTTGGTGTGGGGGTTTTTAAAAAAGGGGTTGTAAAAAAAAAATGATTCTTTATTTTTAAAATATTTTAATTTTTTCTCAAAATTTTTTATTCAATTTTTTTTCTTTTTATTGACAAAAACATGTAGGTTGTAACCCATTTTACAAAAAACTGAAATAAAATTAAAATTTGTTGACTAAAATTAAAAATGATTTTTACCTTGATATCATATAATAATGTTTACCTTTATTTTTTTTAATTGAAAAATTGTTAGGGCCTTTTAATCAGGTTTCTTTTCCCAAAATTTTTGTTAATGGGTTTGTTAATTTGGAAAATTGAAATAATTATGTAATATTTTAAATTTATTCGTTCCCTTTTTGTATTTAAAGGTGTTTATTGTTATTCTGGGTTTTAAATTTTAAAAATTGTTGTTTGTTTGGCAAAAATGCGGGAAAAAAAACAAAATTTGTCTGTAGCAATATTTGCTCCAGGATGGGTAATGGAGAAACATGAAGTTGAAAACTTTACACAAAATGAAAACAAGTAAGTGAAGTACACTAAATAGAGTATTTATAGGCATGGACAAGTTAGACTGTAATGCTAGCTTCTTTTTTGTATTACCTTGCTGACAGAGTGGCTAGCAGGACTGTGGCAGCTTTAGTTTATTATTGTTCATCTAGAAGTGTGTTGGGTATAAAATTTAAATTTTTTTTTAAATTTTTAGATGTCAACCGACATTGATTAAACTCGTGATATTCGTTTTTTTTTGGTTGTTTTTTTTTGCCCCCTTAAAATTCCGTTTTTTTGTTTAAAAAAACCTTTATTCTATGTGTTATACAGACACAGATAGGCACCTGAGTAGAACCACCAAACTTCTGGCAGCAAGCTAAATAGCTTCCTCATATGAATTTCTGATGGGATTCATATCAACTGCAGTAGGGGGCAAGTGATTTGAAGTCTGCAACCTTTACCAATAAATTTGGTATACTTTATTTATGATTTCAGATTTTGGCATCTGCTGCAGGATTTATGCTACCCTTGTACTTACACTACATTACCAATCAGTACCACTTTCTGTCAAGGTTTTGGAGAAAGGTTCTTTGATAATGGCGTTGTAAGTACCTCATAGATTTATTTCGGTTGGTAAGCTCCAGAAATGATTAAAAGCATTTGAATTAGACATGATAACTTCTTTTGATTGATTTGGTTTATGAAGAAATTTTTTGTACTGTAAACATTTTCTTTATACATGATTAAATGTATCAAATTGTGCAATTCCTGTGTATTTAATAAAGCAAACTAATATCAACAATGATATTCAGTTATAGAATAAATAGGTTTTAGTTAGAAAATAAATTTTTTTTCTGAGCTAATTGAAACAATGTTTGAAGCTTCTTGTCAAGAGAAAAAGTTTCACTCCATTCAGATTTTAGTCAAAATTTGCATAAGAGAATACTATTTACAATATTGTCTTTTAGGCTTTTTTTTGAAAAGCTTCCCCGTTTCCCCCGTCCAGTTCCCTCTGAAAAAAACCGTGTCTTCGTTGAGAAAAAAAATTGTTTTGGGGAAAAAATCCTTAAAAGCTCGAAAAGGCTTCTATTTTCTATACCTGTTGTGAAAGGATGGAACCAGACTAATCAAGCACCTGTTGAAGAGGAAACAGAACCAGTAATGGATATAAGTACAGATGATGCCTTTATTGGAGGCACTTGTCTAAGACTGGAAGCTGATGTTGTGCATAGCAACTTTATCAAATACAGGTAAACATTTTAGCTTGACAATGTAGAAAAGATGGCTTATATGAAATTAGGTGCTACCTATGATGTGGAAAGCTTTTATGATTAAATAACAAGCGTAACATTTTTAGTATGTAAACCAAATGTGTCTTGCACTTATAAAGAGTAGGAGATTTTTGTTGATTAAATCCAAAGTTTTCTTATACGTATGTAAGTTTTGCATTCAGTTACTTTTTAGCACAAAGTCAAATAAACAATCATATCCAGTAGAACTTAGGTAAGTTGAAGGAACTTACATAAAACTTTGACACATCCGGACTTTGACTCATGAAAAGTTTTGAAAAATATCTCTAGATCAAAGGACTTTGACACATTCATGGTAAAATTTTCTTAAATTACTCTATATGGACCATGTATAAACTTTGACACATAAAAATTCAACTTGTACAATTATCTTAATAAAAAAATATATAAGGGGGTGGGATTTGGGACTTTCATTTTACTTTGACATATAGAAAAAGACTACTACTATAATCGTAGTTTGACACATAAGAAGATCTATTGTGTGTAAAGATTTTTTAAGTTTCATTTTATAGGTGCATATTTGCTTTTCTTTTGTATATTGAAATGGTATAATTATATGCCCGAAAGAATTTCGGACATATTATGTTATACCCCTGGCGTCCGTCCGTCTGTCCGTCCGTCTGTCCGTCCGTCCGTTAGCAATTTGGTTTCCGGAGCATAACTTAAGTTCCATTTGGCCCACAATATTCAAACTTCATAGGATGATTGTCCATATTGGGTAGAAGACCCCTATTGATTTTGGGGTCATAAGGTCAAAAGTCAAGGTCACTATGACCTTAAAACTGAAAACGTTAGCAATTTGGTTTCCGGAGCATAACTTTAGTTCCATTTGGCCCACAATATTCAAACTTCATAGGATGATTGTCCATATTGGGTAGAAGACCCCTATCGATTTTGGGGTCATAAGGTCAAAGGTCAAGGTCACTATGACCTTAAAACTGAAAACAGTTTCCGGAGCATAACTTAAGTTCCATTTGGCACACAGTGTTCAAACTTCATAGGATGATTGACGATATTGGGTAGAAGACCCCTATTGATTTTGGGGTCACAAGGTCAAAGGTCAAGGTCACTATTACCTTAGAACTGAAAACAGTTTCCGGAGCATAACTTAAGTTCTATTTGGCCCACAGTGTTCAAACTTCATAGGATGATTGTCCATATTGGGTAGAAGACCCCTATTGATTTTGGGGTCACAAGGTCAAAGGTCAAGGTCACTATTACTTAGAAATTGAAAACAGTTTCTTGAGCATAACTTTAGTTCCATTTAGCCCACAATATTCAAACTTCATAGGATGATTGTCCATATTAGGTAGAAGACTCCTATTGATTTTGGGGTCACAAGGTCAAGGTCACTATTACCTTAAAACTGAAAACAGTTTTCGGAATATAACTTAAGTATCATTTGGCCTACTGTGTTTAAACTTCATAGTATGATTGTCCATATTGGGTAAAAGACCCCTAATGATTTTGGGGTCACAAGGTCAAAGGTCAAGGTCACTTTTACCTTAGAATTGAAAACAGTTTCTGGGACATAACTTAAAGTTCCATTTGGACCACAATATTGAAACTTCAAAGGAGGATTGTTATTTGAAGGAGGTAATACTTTATTTTAGTCCCATGTCTTACAAATGCTTCATCTTTACTAAAAAAAAAAAAACACTTTCGGGCATATAATGCTCCGCCTAGCGGTGCTCTTGTTTAACTTTATGTTGGAACTTTGACCTTCAAAGTAGGTTTTAAGGGCCATTGCCCATGTCATTATCAGATTTTTATTACAATATTAAGTAGGGCTTCTCATAGTGTTGAAGTTATGTGCCCTTAACATTATGAAAGCGAGTTTTTGAGTAATGGAACATTCTCTTGGAATTATAACAAACTGTTTCTCCTTTTAGACAATTGAGTGGTATTAAATTTTAAACATGCTTTGTGTATAATTTAGTACAGACCCAGGCTATACAACTGTGTTTTTACTTTCAGCCTTTTCTCACTTGATGTAGACTTAAAACAATACACTTCAGTGTATGTATCTGTGACATACAAGATTCTTCAGGACCCAGACTGTGATATTTTTCTAGAACTTCATCTTCAACATGATGACCAGTCTATTGTTCTGGTTCTCCTACCATTTCCTGATGGAGACAAGCCGGTTCCCACTTATGGCAAAGACAAAGCTTGCATGTATGTACATGCCTTGAGTACTGCCAGCCTGCCAAAATTGTTAAACCTCTCCAGCCCTCAGCCAAACAATACAAGATGGAAAACTAAGTAAGATTTTATGTTCCCACAAGACTAGGATTAAAATCTATAATTAGTAAAGACATTTTAAACTAGGTTTACAAAATAGCCACTTGGTCAAGTTCAGTGGTGATGTTCAAAATTGTTTCACAGTATTATTTGCAAATTACCACTTTGAGTATTATTTCATGTAAGTATGAAAAAAAGTTTGATAATTTTGACTAGTATTTTTTCTTTTCTTTTTTGGAAGCTAAAATTATCGCTGAATATTGAAACTTGATTTTTGTATTGTACCATGACAGTACTTGTTTGTTAGCAATTTGATATTTCATATTTTACCTTGCTTATTATTGACATATACTCATGATATTTCAGAATGTTTCCAGTGTACAGTTTGTATCTAAAATTCTGCAAACTAACACTAGTCAAAGTCGGCCTAACAACCACTGATCCACAGCCAAAAAAATGTATAGCTTTACTTGGAGATCTCAAGGTATAGTACTGGTAGTTGCATTTGTTTTGACCAGTATTTTATTCATAAACGAAGAGAAATTTGTACACTTAATAAAGTTAATATTTACACATTATAGGTAATACTTTTTCCATTAAGTGAACTTAAATTTTTGAAGTTTGTAATGAAATAAGCAAAATGTGATGACTATCAAAGGTGTGGATAAAGTTAATTTTTTGTCACTAACAGTCTCGGCCCATTTGATCTCTTTGGAGAAGTACATTGGTGGCTGTTTGTTGGAAAAATATTTTGAAAGTGACAGCTTTAGTCTTCTGCCATGTAAAGTGTGTAAAACTATATATCCGCTACAAATAAGTCTTTGATATGATTTTTCAGTGAAGTAACATCGTAAAGTGCTATATTGTGCTCCAAGCTTCAAATAGTCACCTTCAATATATAACATGTTAACACCACATATAACAAGAAGTTATGTGTACCTTTGGGCATGCAGTATGAAGTTAAGTTAAAACTTGAATTGCTGTATTAATGATAAGATGGTTATTTCAGATAATACCAGGTGATGCTTTACCTGAAGTGTTTCCATGTGCTGAATGTATCTCAGTGAAAACAGACACAGCTACCTCATACCCTCTCATTGATGTTGCTAAAAATAGCTTCAAACCTGATGAAGATGGTACACAGAAACATCCAAACTCTTTTGAATGGGGAGGTAAGACTTATCATCAAATCTGTCTTGAAACTTGGTGAAATAATCAAGAATTCATCCCTATCAAGTTTCTATATACATTTACTTAATTATATGATTGATTTTATTTAACCCTCCAACTGTATTAAACTTTGCAAACAACGTCACTAATATCCAAAAAAGTAGTGACATTGGTGGCCTAGTGTTTGTGTTATCTTTCTGGCACTACTGGGTTCAAGGGTTTGAATTCTATTAGAGTCACAAACGTTTTCCTTATATGACACTAGTACTGGTTAGCTCCAAGAAGCGAACTATTACTTGTTTAAATAATCATCAAACTTTCATCATAATTCAGCTAAAACAGGTATGTTCAAGTTAGTTTCAGGTATTTAGTTACTTTTGACTGATTATTTAAAGTAGCTAAATGTTACATGTATTTCAAATTACATACCACCCAGATTTTGAATTTATATTGTACTTTTCAATGTCAGAAAAATATCCATTTAGTTTTGAGGATGGTTCTTTAAAGTGATATAATACACATTGGATTTTTGTCCTTCCATAGTTTTATACATGTAAATATGTAAATTGACTTACAATCCTAAGTTATTGTAAGAATTAATTGTCATAATTTCTTACATAACATAATTTTTTAACATACATCATATTCTTCAGTTGATGCATATGGTAACCCGATAAACATCCCATACAATGAGCTAGACAAGATGCGCGTGTCATGTCACACATTGCGAGAGTTCCGGCCAGGTATAGGTGGCCAGTTATGTGAGGTGTTATACCAGCTTATTACTAGTCTTGACTGTTTTACACTCCACTGGAAAGCCGACAATCCTGATATAATAGACCACTACCGAGTATACCAAATAAAAATAGACTCAGGAGTAGCCAAACTTCTCGGACATGTTACTGAACCATACTTTAAAGTGACTTGGTTTGAAATTCCTGATTACGAAAAAGATGAATTGACTCACCATTTTAAGTTTGTTATCAGACCAGTTTTGAAAAATGGAATTGCCGTGCCTCTTGATTACAATTATTGTAAACTTTTTCATGTTGCTTCAAAGAAAGAAGTAGCTTCACTGGTGAAGGACTCGGGCACAGATATGCCTGAAGGAGAAAAAGAAGATGTAGATTCAAATGATACAGGAAATATTGTGAAGGAAGGACAAATATGTGATGGTGAAAATTGTGAAGCCATTAACAGCGATAAAGAAGGGAAAACTGAGAAAACTCATAGTGCCGGAAATATTGAAAATCTTACACAACAGCTTCATATTTCAGATGAATAAAGTACCTGTACTGTGACAGGAATCTGCATATACAATCTGCAGTTCTTTTAATATTTGGTCTTCAACTCAATGTTGTATACTTTATTTTATTTTTGCTTTTGTGTGGAATTCAAGTTTTAATGTACACAAAACTGGCAACACTCGGTGATTAAAATGTGACCTTTACAAATCAGTTTAAATGCACAAGTTAAATATTTTATTATTTTCATTCCTTGATGGTAAAAGTTTTTACTTAAAACAGCAGAAAAAATGAATTTTTTGTGTATAATATAATGGTTCATAATTTATACAGGACAGTTAAGTTTGTTGTAGACCTTACTTTGTGCATAGAGATCTAACCATTTTATACAATATGAAACTGACGCTGTTTTCAACATATATGATTAAGGAAAGATTTTGATTTCCGCCAGTAAACAATTACAGAACATAACATACATACAGCATTCAACAACAATAAAATAACAATATATCATGAAATGTAGTTAATTATTATTGCTAACACAGTAAACACTGTATGTAATTGACATGAAATGTAACGGAATTTCAAATGACACTGCGATCAAAAAAGTTAAGGTATAAGTGTCCAGAAAGACCAAATAGAAAAAAAAGTTGTCTCAAGCATGGGATTTCAACTGAAAATGACCTAACTGGAATATAACTCCAGAAGTTTCTTTAATAGGTTTTCTAACGAAAACTGGGGGTTGTCAGTCACACAGGTTTTAACTGTGAATTATATGAAATGTGCAGTGTAAACATATGTATGTGTTTTTTGTATACACATGTATGTGTTTTAAGTATACACATGTATGTGTTTTTGTATACACATATTTATGTATTCATGTGTTTGCCTATTGTTCACATATATACATTCTAATACAATTACAATACCTCAGGATATGATGATGTAGTCCCTGAACATTGTATGCAATATATTTATTTAATGTTGTGAAGTGATAAATTGGAATGATTGAGTCGATGAGTGAATTATATTTGAGCTGCGTCACGACAAAACCAACATAGTGTGTTTGCGACCAGCATGGATCCAGACCAGCCTGCGCATCTGCGCAGTCTGATCAGGATCCATGCTGTTTGCTATCAGTTTCTCTACTTGTAATAGAGTTGGTAAGCGAACAGCATGGATCATGATCAGACTGCCCGGATGCGCAGGCTGGTCTGGATCCATGCTGGTCGCAAACGCACTATGTTGGTTTTGTTGTGACGCGGCTCATTTTATGATATTAAATTGTATATGTTTGTAACAAGGATATTTTAGTATTAAAATTTGGAGGTTGATTTAAAAGAAAATTGTAAATTTAATTTATTATTTATATACAAATATAGGTTCATTGGTAAATTCCTGATAAATGATGAATTGTTTCCACTGTCAGAACTTAATAAGTGGTACAGTAAAATTGTTTTGGTGGTACAAATCTATTTCATTATCAACTGTGTTGTCATTTGATTATTTATTTCCCCTGTGTCTTTTATATACATGTACTGGTTGGGGACCACCAAAACCGGACAACCCCCAAACCCGGACAACCCCAAAAATGCTTAATTTAGTTTTTGTTCTTTTTTCATTGGTTGTCGATCTCTCAGACATTTTTTTAGGAACAATAAATGCATGTTTCTTCTATAAATAAGTAATCAAATTTATTTCAGCAGTGATATTTTAATGTCTATTTTGCAAGAATGCTGACGTTGAAAATTTGGGCATTAAGACTGCAATACCTGACCCGATATACCATATACAAAAAATATATAATCATTTGCAGAGTAAACAATAGAATATCCAAAACTGTAGCATTTGCTGCTGAAATATTGTTTATCATGTTAAAAATGAAAAATTAAAATACCCAAGCATTTAACAGAATTAAATCACATCATGTATATATCTGTCTGGACACATGGTACTGTAGTGTCGACAATTTAGGTAATTTTGATACCCTCCTTGATGAGCCTTAGATATAAGTGTCAATATAATCAGAAATAAACATACTAGCTTGTTAGTTAGGAGAAGAACCTAGCTGTACTGTGTCAAATTTTCAGGTCTCTAGGTTTGAAATTATGAAATCTGTATGAAAAAATGTTCAAAAAGTGTCTGGTTGATGGTCCCCAACCAGTACATGTATTAAAAATCTAATTAAGCTGATACTGAAAGTCAGATTTTTTTTATCAAGGAAACTAAAATTACACATACATTAAAAGAATTCATATCCCACTGTATAGAATATTACACATGATCATAGTTTTACCAGAATTTCATCATGTGTACATATTTTAGGCTTTATTTAAAACCCATTACAATGTATAAATGCTTGTTGACAAATATACTTGTTTTTTTTTGTGATTTTGTTTTTGTTTTGTAAGTGAATATAAATATAGAAAAAATATACAGGGTCAGATATCCATATCTGAGTTAAGATCTTATGTTTTTTAGGCAGAAACTGAATTAATTTGACTGGCAACACACCAAAAACGTATCGATAATTTTTAAACGACATGTAATGTATTTATTCATGTGTGTGTATTGTATGAATCTGTTTTCATTATGACAATAAAACCTACTTACTCACCTTCAGTTCTTTTCTCTTATTTCCTTTTACAACAATGTTAAGCTTATGGAAGAAATTTTAAATTAATCTTGAAAGAAAGGACAACACTCGAACAGTAATTCTAGGTTGTTGATTTTGGATGAAACGTCATTATCTATACAAAGTAAAGAGTCATTCAGATTTCAGATTTTTATTGACACAAGTTTACCTAAAATTATGTCCAATTGGTGGTATCTTCATATAGTGAGATTATATACAGTATTGACCATTCCTTTATGTATTACATCTCTACATTATACCCCCGGCAAACAAAGTTTGTGTGGGTATACAGGAGTAAAAATGTACAAGAGATATCAACTTCAAATTTTGTAACTAGATAGATCTGAATGAGTAGAAGTATGGAGCATAAGAACCTTAATCCTCCCCTTATTTTGCATTTTGTGCATTTTTACACTTTGAACTTTGTCCGGGACATAACTTGAGAACTATTAAAGGTATCAACTTAAACTTTGTACGTAGATAGATCTCACTGATTAGAAGTGCAGTGAATAAGAACCGTAACCCTCCCATCCCAAATTTTGGAATTAATGCCCTTTGTTCATTTTTACACTTTGAACTTTGGCACTTGTGGCAAGCTCTAGTTTTATTGTGTCCCTGCCAGACACAAAATGTAGTTACATCATCGTAACATGTCTTAAGATTTATCTGTCCCTTCATAATATGTCATTTAATAGTATAATACAATGTAACAATTGAACATAAGACATGTGGCACAAAAAAACCATAAGCTAGTTGATCTGCATGCTGAATATAGAATCTTCATGTTTAGTTAAAAACTAAGATATTTTCCTGATACTTAACACATGTCTTTGAGATCGTAACTATAGGTCAATGTCTAAGACCATTTCAATATTTACTGAGGTATTAAACTAAGTACTTTCCCAGTTCAATCTTTACAACCACTGAAAGTATTCACTTAAAATTTCATGTGTTTAAGGTATCCGATCCAGAGTCGAAATTCTAGCAGGTTTTACTGAACCATTCCTCTTTCTGAACTTAATTGTTCACATTCCACAGTAAAGAACAGAAAATAAACGAGCACACTGTCTAACTGGAATTTTACTTGTAGTTATTTCAAAGAAAAACAGCTAAACTAAATTTTTGAAAACTATTTGTTGATGCCCCAACCACATAAGGTTGAGGGTGCTATACTGGAATCACTAAAGCATGTCAGTTAGTGAACTGACCTGTCCGTCTCCATCCTCTATATACATCCTATACCTCTTGAGTGATTTACTTCAAACTCAATTGTTCGCCTAAACAAAAGGGAAATACAGAACCCAGTCATTTCCGTGCTGTCTTAAGGTCACCCTTGAAGGTCGAATGTCAGACAAGTTTGTCTGCTCTATAAATCTTACACCCCTCAAACTTAGCTTAAATATTCACCTCAATAAGGCATATGAAGAACCAATGTTGCTATTGCGCAGGCTGAAAGTCAAGGTCATCCTTGCAGGTCAAATGTCAAACAATTTACTGTCCATTTTATAAATCCTATACCCCATGAAGAATTTTCTTCAAATATGGCTCAAATATTTCCCTCATCAAGGCAATGTGCAGAACCATGCAGTCATGCAGTTTTAAACTCTTATATTTTCTTTAAAAATATAATGATAAATTGCACTAAAATGATAATATTTTGTGTCACATCAGGTAAGGGTATTCATCCCATCTGTGGCAGCTCTAGTTTTATCTAATGAGGCTTGCACTGAGGTAAAGTTTCAATTTACCATTATCTCATACTTTCAAGGGACTTCTGCCTGCAGAGCTAATGTTGTTGACACTAAATGTCACCTGATAGAGGTGAAAAGACCACAGTATCACCTCTATGTAATACTTCAGGCATTGAAGAGGACTGAACTAATGACCTTAGATAAGCTCCATGAAAATAAAGTATTCAACATCACTTGTGGGGTTCCGCGACAATGATCTTAATTCCAATATGATAAACAAACAACAAAAAAGTTGACTGAAAAGAGAATATATTTATAAATGCTACACAGTTAAAAACATTTTTCATATATCTTTAATTTATTACAAAGCATATTACATGAAATTGCATTTATAGATTTTACAAAATATATTAGTGACAATTAGGCATACTACATTTTGTGATGCAATCATTAACTAAATGAAAAAGAAAAATGAAAAACACTCAGTCAAATGAACCACCTGACAGAATCTTTGGTCTTGTATACCTCATATACACATTATTTGGTTATTAGGATTGAAACAAAATAAATTTCTTATTTAAAATCTCTAACCACTAACTAAATTTGTTTATATAGAATTTTGTTGTGTCAATAAAATAAATTATGTCCACTACGTTTAGCTATACATTGTACTTTTATATAAAAACTGCCAAAGAAAACTGTTGTTGATTAGATATGTTTTCTGTACAAAAAGGTCCATTCTAACCTACTCCAAACTTCATTGTCCTTAAAAAACAATACCACACTGACAGTCCCTTTTGTGACATTCAATGGTTGATTACTACATCATCTTGCACCTGCATAATGCTTTGAATCAGACTGTTTCTGTCAACTCAATTTTTTTTTTATTCTAAGAAATTGTTAGAATATCAAAAAAAAAACATTATACAACATGTAGTTCATCAAAGATTGACTGGAAAACTGGACATAAATTTTAACCTACTCCAAACTCCACTGTCCTTAAAAAAACAATACCACACTGACAGTCCCTTTTGTTATATTCAATGGTCAGACACACCTGTATAATGCTCCAAATCAGACTGTTTCTTTGTAGACTAAAATTTTATTTTTTTTTATTCTAAGAAATTGTTAGAATATCAAAAAAACATTGTAGCTCATCAAAGATTGGCTGGAGTACTTGACATAATTTTTAAAAATGTCTGAAGTTTTACTGTCTGGTTTGAGCCTGAAACAGGATAAATTTTGTTTGGGTGTCCAATTGAGATCATTTAGGAGAGAAAAAAACTTTATCCCGTTTTCATGACTAAACTAGGAAGTAAAACTTTTTTTTAAAAATTATATTATGTTCTCAAGACAATTATTGGTGCGCTACATTATTTTTTCATATCCTAACCATTTCTTACAATAAAAACAAATTTTAACTTCGAGTCAACAGGATGTTTACAAAAGAAACAGTTCGATTGGGAGCACTTTGCAGGTTGGGGATGACATAGTATTCTACCATTGATATTGCAACAAAAACGTTGTACTTTTACTTATAACAACAGTCAATATGAGTAGAGATTTGGAAGAACCAATCTATTTCATCAATTAATTAATGAAGTTTAAAGTGTATAAAGCTGTACCATAAGATATAAAATGTAAAATTAATAATTTGTAAAATGTTGTTGTTTCCATAGCCCAAATGGTTGATTCTTAAGAGAATTTGTACCATATAATGTCTCTGTTCCAGAACAAAATTCTATTTAATGTATAGACCCCCAAAATAGACCTTTCCGTGAAAATTTGTTTCCGCGAATTCAAATACAAGTACATTATTATTCTGCTATTTTAAGTACAGTATAAACCATATAGCTATGATTTTGTGCATGTGTCATTCTCTCTTAAGGACATATACAAACATATTTCCTACATACAAGTATTTTGGAATTATTCTTTATCAAAATTCAAACAATATGTCTGTAAACTACATGCAGCTGATATATAGCTTTATACACTAATGGAATGTTAAAATGGAAGACATATTTAAATCATTATACAATGTTAACCTACACATCTTGTAACAAATTCTAATTGTATGATATTGCATGGTATGTAGTTCTGATGCATAATAATGTGCTAAAATATTTTCAAGAGGGGTTCAATAAGGTTATAGCTTCCAACACAATCAAACTAAATAAATTAGTATAAACTAAAACTAAAACATTTATTATTTGAAAAGGAAAGAAAACTTTGTAACACATTCTTTTTGTGTATCAGTGAAGAACATATATCATGAATCCACACTGCCAATTTTCTTTGTCTATATAAGCAAATGTATTTCAATAATTTGTTGAATCAAAACTTTAAATATGCATAGGAGTAATATACTTATTGATGTTTGTTTCATTTTATAGAAATATATTTGTTAAATAAACATGGTAAAAGTAATTCCAGTGAAATTAGCACATAACATCAAACACTGATTATATGCAAAATAGAAGAATTTTTTTTTTAAATATGAAAAAAATGTTACAAAAAAATGATATGATTCAAATTAAGCAAAGAATAGAAATATATCTATTTATAAAAACAAAAAATGAAATACAAAAATACAAACAAGTTAAAGATATATTGTTTGAAAAAAGGTAAATAAATCATTATTCTATATTAAATTCATAAAGTTATAATAAATAATTATGAGAATTAATTTTTGTGTACATGTATAAAGATTTAAGTAATACAAAAAATACATGTTATTTTACATGAAACCATTCATAGTGTTGTTGCTGTGTAACCTGATTATCAAAGAAATCCTGCATGTCTGACCAATAGTATTTTGTCCATGGTCTTGATTATTAACGAAAATAATTATCATTTGGAAATGTATTTTACTCATAGAAATCTATCTTTAAAGTTTGCAATTAAAAACCCAAACAATCATTTACTATGGATGACTAACAAGATCAATATTATGACTGCCAACATGAGAAAACAGCTCTTTATGTCATTAACTTTTTTTTAACTTGACATACTAAAGTCACAAACAAATTCAATTCTATAGCTCTTGAAATAAATAAAAAAAACTTTTGAAATTTGCTTATTGTCTTTTATCTTTATCACATACCCTTGCGATTTTGCGACTCTGCAAATATGGTATTGCACGACCATGCATATATTTTGACATGACGTCATTTACGTTATATCCAAACATAGTGTAAAGACTTGCTAAATGTTAGCGTTACACTTTAGAGGCATCAATTTAAAAAATTATTCTTTTGCACTTTAAACAGTCCTAATTTTGGGTATGTGACAAATAGAATATTATATTTGTGTAAGTTCATTACTGAATTTATTGAACTTGTTGAATAATGTAATATTTTACTCACCAGAGGCTCGCATAATATAATTTTATTCAACTTGTTCAATAAATTCAGTATGAAACTTACACTCATTCAATATCCTCAATTTAACATTTCAATGGAAATTCACTTTTTTTATTTTTAACTTCAATGACAAGTTAAGGTCTTTTGACATCATTTGTAAAATGATGTTAAGGGTCATTTTCTCATGCAGGTGTTTAATTATACTAGGTTTCTAAACTACATGTGCGATGATACAGTACAGTATGTAGTCCGATAAATTATCATACAGTGAACCGTTATTGTATTGTGCATATTGTAATATGGTGATATACTGATTGTTATAAAACTTATTGTAAGCTACGGTTTATTATTGATATAATAACCAGTATTAATCTACAAGAAATATAATGCATCAGTGAGATAAATGATTACTGACATAGCTTGTTCTATAGCAAACGACATGTTGTGTCATCTCATATAGGTGTTTATATTTTCACAAAGTAACAGTGCTCAACATGGTCAAAATAAAAGTTATAATATAAGCTGTTTGTAATGGATGACACTGCAACATGATAAAAGTACATGTATATTGTTATACCAAAAAAACTATTACAGCACTATTTTAAACACTTGTAGAATTATATTGATCACATTTCTTCTATCTATAATAATAAAAAAATCCCAAAACTCCCAAACATTTCTTGAATGATATAAATGATGCTAAGTTTGATAAGAGTCATGTCCCTTCACCAGCTAGCAGTTATGTACATTTACTTTATCTAAAGCTCTAGTATTGCCAGTGAACTAATATCAAGTTTATTCCTTTTGCTAAACAAAACAATTTTGACACAAAAAATAGACCTAATCAGATGTGTAAAAGATATTTAGCAATAATCTGCTGGAATTAAAAGGGATTAGCTCTTTCTACCAGTACATAGCCAGGTTATACCAGACTTCAACAATGGAAGCATATATTTTGTATTTTGCCAATTCTCTAAATGGGCTGTTCAAAACTAAACAGTCAAAGTCGTTACACAGATTCAGCAGCTTATGGGTAGGAACAAAATTATTTAACAAACAAACATTGAGGGAATCCAGTCCCATAAAAAATATGGCACTGAAACAAGAAAATAATTTACATGTATAAAACATGTCACAGGAATGTTTTTATACCTTAATATGAACAAATTGTATAAGTAATAAAAATATATATACACTCAAAAGAAAAAAGGAAAGTAAAAAATTTCAGACCAGATGATTAAACTAGAGACCACATGTTGTGAATGATCATTTATCTCCAAGTTTGACCTTGACCTTGAAGATACAGACAGAGGCAATGAGCAAAACAGATAATCTCAAACTTTTGTGTCAAGTTTCTTTAAAACATTTCAAGTAAATAACTTCATCAATGTCCGGATAAGTTAATATTAGACACATACACACACTAAACTACTCTTCAACATTGTTGTACCCTTGCCAAGCACATTACAAATCATGCTCAGCCAATCATAAAAAAGAACAAGACAATTATATAGTCAATAGTAAATTCTGCGACTATCCATACAGCAGGATTAGATCTCTATATTCAGAATCATTGATTTATACTAAAATAAAGATTTATACAGTAGAAATGTCAAACATGAATATTTGCAGCACATGTTAAGAGGCATACTGTATATCACAAATGTCTTTGCAATTATAACATCTGTCTGTAACATCTTCATCGTCTATTCATCATTGAACACACTGAAATTATAAAACATATAAATTGTATGATATAAGTATTTTCTATATTCACATGTATACATTATCCAATGAATGTAAATTAGTATTTATCACACAATTATACAAAATTTAATATGGTAACTTTGTATAAGCACATCATACACATGTTGTGTACTCAGTTTCAGTTTATTTGGTTGGTTTCTTTTTTATGCCAACTTAAACTTATGTTTGGTCTTATGTCAGCAGTTGGTCCACCTAACTGGCTTTCCTCAACCAGTTACTATGAATTTCTCTACCCATGACAGTCTACTTATAACACATGATATATAAACCAAGTGACTTTTAGAATCACTATCTAAGATCAATTGTCATGGACAAGTTTAACTTGGCCTTAAAATCAAACCAGTGACCCCTGTATTACAAATCTGATGCTGCCCTAATGAGCTAGATGGGATGACTAGCTAGGTGGACGGACTAGCTAGGTGGGCGGACTAGCTAGATGGGCGGACCAGCTAGATGGGCAGACTAGCTAGGGTGGACTAGCTAGATGGGCGGACCAGCTAGGAGGGCGGACCAGCTAGATGGGCAGACTAGCTAGGGCGGACTAGCTAGATGGGCGGACCAGCTAGATGGGCAGACTAGCTAGGGCGGACTAGCTAGATGGGCGGACCAGCTAGGAGGGCGGACTAGCTAGATGGGCGGACCAGCTAGATGGGCAGACCAGCTAGATGGGCAGACTAGCTAGGGTGGACTAGCTAGATTGGTGGACTAGCTAGATGGGATGACTAGCTAGGTGGGCGGACTAGCTAGATGGGCAGACTAGCTAGGGTGGACTAGCTAGGTGGGCGGACCAGCTAGATGGGCAGACTAGCTAGGGTGGACTAGCTAGATGGGTGGACTAGCTAGATGGGATGACTAGCTAGGTGGGTGGACCAGCTAGATGGGCGGACTAGCTAGGGTGGACTAGCTAGATGGGAGGACCAGCTAGATGGGATGACTAGCTAGGTGGGCAGACTAATTAGATGGGCGGACCAGCTAGATGGGCAGACTAGCTAGGGCGGACTAGCTAGATGGGCGGACTAGCTAGATGGGCGGACCAGCTAGGTGGGCGGACTAGCTAGATGGGCAGACCAGCTAGATTGGCGGACCAGCTAGATGGGCAGACTAGCTAGATGGGAGGACCAGCTAGGTGGGCGGACTAGCTAGATGGGCGGACCAGCTAGATGGGCAGACTAGCTAGGGTGGACTAGCTAGATGGGCGGACCAGCTAGGAGGGCGGACTAGCTAGATGGGCGGACCAGCTAGATGGGCAGACCAGCTAGATGGGCAGACTAGCTAGGGTGGACTAGCTAGATTGGCGGACTAGCTAGATGGGATGACCAGCTAGGTGGGCGGACTAGCTAGATGGGCGGACCAGCTAGATTGGCGGACCAGCTAGATGGGCAGAACTAGCTAGATGGGGGGACCAGCTAGGTGGGCGGACTAGCTAGATGGGCGGACCAGCTAGATGGGCAGACCAGCTAGATGGGCAGACTAGCTAGGGTGGACTAGCTAGATTGGCGGACTAGCTAGATGGGATGACCAGCTAGGTGGGCGGACTAGCCTAGATGGGAGGACCAGCTAGGTGGGCAGACTAGCTAGATGGGAGGACCAGCTAGGTGGGCGGACTAGCTAGATGGGCGGACCAGCTAGATGGGCAGACTAGCTAGGGTGGACTAGCTAGATGGGCGGACCAGCTAGATGGGCTGACTAGCTAGGGCGGACTAGCTAAATGGGCGGACTAGCTAGGGCGGACTAGCTAAATGGGCTGACTAGCTAGGGCGGACTAGCTAGGGCGGACTAGCTAAATGGGCGGACTAGCTAGGGCGGACTAGCCAGGTGGACAGACTTTGATGCATCTGATCTAAAATTGCACATGAACCATGATATAATTATCATATACATCTACCAAAACACAACGTTAATTCATGGTTCAGCTTTCATATAGGAATCAGTTTTACTTTATGTTGAATCTCTTTACCTTTGTCTGAATATTGTACAGCAACTTATCTTTACAGAACTGGAAACATAACTTCATTTTCACATAAATAAATTAAGAAAATATTAATTTAATAAAATATCTCTTATGCATGGCATTTTATTTGATACATTAATTTCACATTTCACTTTTTATCTCAGATGTATCAACTATTTAGAAATAATATCAAGACATTAGTAACTTTCCAACCACCAACCTTCTATAAGCTACCTTCACAATTTTAAATCATGAACAAATTAACCCTATGTTGAAATAGAAACTGACATCTGTCAGAAAAGGTGACAATGACCTTAACAATTACAATAGATCAGTCCAATATAAATATATTTGCATAAGTTAATGTTAGAAATAGAATATCACAATAGTTATAGTGAATATTGTTGAAAGAAAAATAACTTTATAAATAGGTAATTAATGGTTATACATGTATACCATCAGAAGTGACCTCTGTTTAGAAGAGTATTTTATATGATAGTGCTGTCTCACCTTATTTTGAATAATTAGATCTCCTTTTAAAACCTAAATTGTCAATATGTCACAAATAATACCACAACGAAACATGAAACAAATTGTTAAACATAAAATAAAAGACAAACTTCTTCTGAAACCCTAGTTTATAGATGCTGACCTTTTCTAACATTACATCACAATGTACACATTATCAATTTTATGAAGAATAAATCACCTGGCACATTATAGTATAGCCTGAACAATCTGGTAGTTCCACATAAAAAGAGATTTCAGTTGGACAGAATAAAGTTATGGCCACTATGTATCTTAGCTAAACTGTTACACGTGGAAATCTTGAAATAAAATACAGCAGATGCTGAAATAAATGTTAGAAAATATCAACGTGAACAAGTATTACATACTTTTAATATCTTGTGGAGTTGGAGGATTAGTTATCACATTGGTCAGAGCTACAATCCACTTCTCCTTATCTTCAATACTCTCAGCCTTCAACTCAAACCCTCTCTCTGTCGTCTCTAGAACAAACTCTAGGATATCAGACTTGTTTTTTGTGCTATTGGCAACAGAGTATCCAGCATCTTTATGTCCTATGTATACTTCCCCTTTAGGAATCGGTGACTAAAACATAAACATATGAAGCATTATCAGTATTTTCAAATTCTACAAAATCAAAGGTTTTTACAATAACTTTTTATAATGAACATGTGTGTATTTAATGTCTCTAAAAGCTACGATACAATCTTTTTGTAAAGTTAGCCTTATCTAAGCTTATCTAAATGATTCACTAAACATTGGAGTTTATAATTGAACCGTGGCATGACAAAACCAACATAATGGGTTTGCGACCAGCATGGATCCAGACCAGCCTGCGCATTCGCGCAGTCTGATCATGATCCATGCTGTTCGCTTACAAACCCTATTACAAGTAGATAAACTGATAGCGAACAGCATGGATCCTGATCAGACTGCGCAGATGTTGGTTTTGTCATGGCGCGGCTCATATTAGTTTAGTTGTTAAGAAAGTTAAGACACTTACCAGAGGATCTGATAGGTACATAAGCTTCCTTCTGTCCAAGGTGAACCATCTTTTTTTATAAGGTTCATTGCGAGGTCCTTTCTTCCATAAAAACCCTTCACAGAGAAAATTTGAGGTCAAATCTTTACACAACTGAAATACAGGAAAGGAAAATTTATCAATGTTAAAAGTGTGCTAAAATAACATAATATTTTGTTAACAGACTTTTCACTCCATGCTTCTGTTAAACTGTCAAACAGAGATATTTGTATTAACTTTACATGTATAGTCAGAAATACAACTTAAATTACAAATCTGAACTATTACAAACAGAAACATAAGTTTGGTTAAGTATGATTTCGTGTTTATGATTCTTAAAGATATTTTGATGCAACAGTTCTGAACTTTTATTCAAATACGGCACAAACACTGTTAAACATGCTGATAATTTTATTAATTGAGAGTATAAATAAGTATACGAACATAATGTTCATTTCAGTTACATAAGCTTACAAACTTAAAATTAAGTCTTTATAACCAATTCATAATACTGCTATCTTTAATGACAAGAGCGATCAGTAATCACATGTGTCGCCTCATGATGGCCAATTTCATGTTGGGACAAATTTTGTGACAGACAGACAGACAAACAGTGCACAACTAAACATGGTACTGATCATTCCTGTAAAGTTTGGATAAAATTGCACCAGTAGTTTATGAGGAGTAGTCCGGACAAGCTTTTGCGTATCTGGCAACACACAGAAAAAAACACCTTTTTGTCAAAGGGCCATAACTCGGCCAAAAATCATTCAACCGGAAAACCTGTGCAATATGCACAAGGACTTGAGCTATAGATCAATCCTGTAAAGTTTCTTTGAAATTGCATTAGTGGTATAAGAGAAGTAGTCCGGACAAACTTTAAAATTAAAAATTATTAAAGGGCCATAACTCTGACAAAAATCATTGAACCGGAAAATGCTGACAATATGCACAACTAGACTTGGTACTGATCATTCCTGTAAAGTTTGGATGAAATTGCACCAGTAGTTTATGAGCAGTAGTCCGGACAAGTTTTGTGACGGACGGACGGACAGACGGACGGACAGACAGACGGACGAAGGAGAAGTGATCCCTATATGTCGCCACTACTCCGTAGAGGCGACACAAAAATAGACATAAATTCATAAATGGTGTGGTGGTGTTGGTAGTTTTCACTCCGGATCACAGCAGTAAACCACATTGAATTCAACAGAGCACAGTTCAGCCATCACATTGTTCCTGGGCAGGCTGTCAAGCAGTTTACCAGTACTAGTTGCCTTGACTGATAACTTTTGTACATGCCAGAGCAGAGGTACAGAAAAGAATTCATGATCAATCACAACAAAAGTGACCTGCAACATTCGGGACTCAAACCAGGATTACCCAATTCACAGTCTGACGCTCAATCTATTAAGTTAACTATATGGTGCCTTAATTCATAGATATGCAGCAGCAGTGTATATATATTGTACAATCATCATAATTATCCAATGAAAATCAACATTACAAACATGAACTATTAAAGAATTTAAATAATTATATACTAACAAAAATAATAATTATCAGTGTGTATGTCGCCAAAATACTGTTGGAAGTATATACAAGCAGTGCATAGACATGTCAACATGAATGTTTGTATATACAGGAGATGAAGAGAACAAGATAAATGTAAATAGTTTATACCTCATCTTCATTTCTATCAGGGAATGCTAACCGTCTTCTCTCTAATTTAGCACATCGTATTGCTGTAAACCAGTCTATAGCTTCCTAAATCATTAAATAACATGAATAAAATCAATAACTTACACAATATACTTTAGAAAAACACATACAGTATATATAGATATAATTGTTTGTCAAATATCTGTACAATGTAGAAATTAAATTCATTGATTCAACAGTGGTGCATTAAATGCCATGGTAATATATGCAGGAAAATTATTTGTTTCATTTTCAGACCAAAATTTATTTCACAGGGAGTACAGTAGATGCAGTATTTTCATGAATGGCAAAATTATGACAACTGATATTATTCACAAGTGACATATAATTTGATCTTACATAATGTTCTATTTACATTATGCTTTATTAATGATTTTGATTTTTATTGCATAATGTCATGAGCTTTGACACCATCAAATCATGACATCACAGTTTTCATGTTGAAAAATAATTCTGTAAAGAAACATGAATTCTGTTACAATCTAAATAATATGTGTATTTATCATCTTCTAGTTATCTTACTTTTTACTTATTCCATTCATTTATGATATTTGCTTTTCATTTGTATTCAAATTTACAACAGAGTTAAGCTGAATTATATTTTAATAATATCCCTGTGAAATTATCAAAATAAAACAAAAATCGCTAATAAGTTTGTAATAAATCACAATATTTGTGTTTACCTTAGAATCGTCACAGTAGAGGAAGAGATTTCTAGTTGTACCATTCTTCATATATGATATCTGAAAACCATTCGGGTTACCAATCTTCTCTGGTACAAACACAATGTTTATGTCATCTAGTGGTACTGTGTCTTTTGGTCCTTTAGGCTGAATAGAAAATATCTCATTTAAAAAAATAAATCTTGAAAAAAAAAATCAAACATAATTATCTAAATGACAAAAAGGTCAGAAGAAAAACTTAATGTGACCTGTTTAAGACCATCATTATTTATTATTACGCAAAGACAAAACTTTATTGAATTAAGGACCACAAGCCCAAACACACATAAAGAAATATAATACAAATATATTTATGGATGTTACAAATAAGACATATTTAGGACATAAAAAAACGTACAGCAAAATGACAGCATTTATCACAGAAATGGTATAGGATTCATCCAATAGTACTAATTAACTAAACACGAACAAAAATTGATCTTGTTCTCTAAGCGATACATATAGAAAAGTTGCTAATTTCCTAGTATCAATATGTTCAGATGACATCAGAATATAATATTTCATATATGAAGGATATTTCCAGAAATTATTTCCTGACATTCATTTATGTATAACATACTTGAAGCTCTTTAAACATCAGAAATCTGGTACACTGGAAACTCACAAAGTTTTCAAAATATCATATCCTTCTTAAATATGCAACAAGATAAACTGATTATATCATATAAAACAATGTGACAGCTGTTGTAAATGTGCACTAACAACTTTGTATGAGCTACATACTTCTAGAACATGGGGACACACTTTTGTTCAAAAAGTACCTGCATACTGGTATCAGAAAACATAATCTGACTGTTAATTTTTTTCCACCTGGCATCAACAGATTCTATCAGTATGTGACTAGTACAGACCAAGATCATGGTATACACTGTTTGTCATTCAGTCAGTATATATAATTATGCTTTTAAAAAAATTTCTTTAAAATGATGAATGGTTTTGCCGAGATGAAAAGATTGACAAGTCCACTTAAGATATACACTGTGGTAAAAATTATTAAAGGAAGCTATTGTCTTTTAAATTTTGGAAAAAGTTGTGAGACTTACTGATTCTTTGTTAAAATACTGCAGGCAGTTATCTTTGGAATTTATAATAAACCTCCTTGGGTTATATTTTTTATCGTGTTTGCCTTTCTTCATCAAATTTCCTTCCTTTGTATTTGAACTATACGGTGCTTGTTTGGCAGGATAAACAAATTCCATACGCTCATATTTAGCCCGTATAAACTGTGCCCTTAATATTCTGCAAGAGAATTATGTTCAATTACACAATTAATGTTCACTAAACCAATATCGAAGTGTTACCTATACCAAAACACAAAATAATAACGTCTTAAAGCAAGTCCTTAATTGCTTACAATGACTTAACATTTTCATCTCAAAATGTGTATATAAGCAAGTATGATCATCCATTAATAAACAGCTGACCTGTACCGGTTGTTTCACTGTAGAAAACTATTAATAATTACATAGTAACCAGTATTATTGTCAAAGGAAATATTCTGACATAGTTTCACAGTGATTGGATAAAGAATCTTGAATGTTGCTGCAGGTTTAAATGTAAACAGATATGACACAACAGCTCTACAACATCAGGACTTTATCTATTTAAATATCAAAATGATATAAAGTAACAATGAACCAGAAATGAATGCTCAAACACTATATTCATTTATTCTTCTTGTTTTTCAACAAAGCACCAAAATCTTTAATTGCTGAACACCTAAAGAATTAATGTATTTGTTTTAAAATTACAGTGCTTTTAACTCACTGAAATGTAAATAAAGTTTATGTACATTAGGTTTAACAGATATGATAAAACAGAAGTAACTTACTCCACATCATGTCTTGTTGGGCGCATGTAATACTTTGGTAAATGTTGCTCATACTTTTTGTTAACCACATCATTTCCTTTCTCTGACATTTTCTGAACAGAAATAAAGTGATTTAAAACATAATTTATTAAATAAAGAACTTTGTTTGGAAGATAGATGTAAAGCATAATTATAGCAATTAATCAATTAACAAAATATATTGACATAATTGCTGAATGTCTCTCAGAACACAATACATGGTCATGATGATAACAATAATTTGCACCGCCCCTTCCCCCTCCCCACATCCCTATATATAACTACATGAGTATGTCTTAAAACATAAGTTTGATAACAAAAATATTTACTAGTTCTAAATAACAACACACTGAAAAATCTTTCTTCCCTTGGCAGTATACTATAATATGTGAAAGAAAAAAAAACTTGACAAAAAGCAATGTTGATACAGAAGATGATTGTCACTTATAGATGATTATAACTTGTCCTACAGATTATTTTTATCATAATATTATAAAAGACCATACATAGACAAATGAGTTTTCACATTTTTGTTTGTACATACATTCATATACAATATTAATTTAAGGGAGAGAATTTCTCACCATGACCTGATCATCATCCCAGTTATCTAACTTGATAGATTTGACTCGGCTTGTATCTACCCCTAAACTTCTGTGAATCCCTGCACAGTCCTGACACAAAAATATACCAAGATTGCATGATGCCCATTCTACATTTTCTGTAAAAGAAAACAAAAATCACAATTAAATGATCCAGAATATTAATAAAAAAAGCTATCATTGTTTCCTGTAAAAATATATCATATTTCCACAACAATAGTGAACACTTCTGCAAAACAGTTTTAAAATACATCAAGGAAAGACATGAATCACACTGATGCTCTCATCTGTGACCTTGGCCTTGGAACAATTAACAGAACAACATTTTGCATGCAGCACATTGTCTCATTTTGTTTAACATTTTCTGCAAAGTGAAAAAGTTAAAACTTAACACAATCCATGCTAGAGTTATGTGCAGTTAAAAGTGACCTCTAATGATGATTCAGAAAACATGCATACATTTAAAATGTTTTTCAAGTGATTATTATCAGTGGTTTTGAAAATAAATCTTCACATTGAAACTTTAAACAAGGATATTTCTAAGTTCACAAAGGGCCATAATTCCGTCAAAATTAATGCTAGAGTTATGTGCTTTGGAAAATGAGCTATAATTATGATTTAAAATACATGTAAAGCAAATGTCTTTATTGATTGATGAGACAAGAATGATGCTGTACAAGAAAATACACATAATCTGTAACAAAAGTGTAATGCCCACACTGACACACAGGTGAGTCGGGAAGCCCCACTTTTATACTGGGTGATATTTAAACGCCACTATAATAGCTAGAGAACAAAGTATTTTGACAGCAAGATACATTTTAACTGTTTAAAATGCTTCAATGGTTTATAAGCACAGGTGGTGATTTGATTGATGTTTATCACATAAATGTGTTGCATCATTAATCATATGTATCTTTGTTAGGACATATAAATCATTCAACTGAATGAAATACAAAGGAACTATGAAATAGTCAAAATATAAAACCACAAAAATTCTTTTGTAACTCTCACTTTATAACCTTTATAATATATCAAATAACTGTGCAGACACCAATTATTTTTCAGAATTCTATAAATTCTATTATAATATTTTGTCTGACTTAATATTTTCCCAGTGTCACCAAAGGTCAGATTATCAGACCAATTCCCAATGGAAAATTTGCACATCTTCCCCCAATTTTTTCAAAAAAAAAATCTCAATTGAACTGAAACTTTCGATATCAAAACTGACAAATTTGAGTTCATTCCACTGTACAGACAAATGTTTCTGCACATTTCATTGTCAAATTTTAATGTATTTTTTTATGGTCTGAAAGATATTTGCATTGGTTGGAACAAACAATTTTGCACAATTCAAAATACTTTGCCAAATGAGCATGAAGGAGGTTACAAAAGGTACCAAATATTTTACCAATTAAGCAATTTTTCAACGCAAAATTTCCGAAACTGGGCAAGGTGCCTGATTAAAGTTAAACTGTTAATTGTCATAAATTAAACTTCCATAACAATTCAAAAATGTTTAGTTTAAATTTCATGAAAATACCAACACAGTGGAGTTAATTTAATGAAGTCCATAATCATGAATGGTCAAAAACACAAAAAACCTCAATGAATCACCTCGTAAAGTGGATCAGTATGTGCCATAAACACAAAGGATTTTATTTTTAATACCATTTGGAAACTTTTTAAAATTTTGACTGATAAAGACTATCAATTCATTCAGAAACTTTTTTTATGTATGTAAATGATTGTTAAACCTAATTTCTATATAGAATTTGTTATTATGACTGTTTCTTACAGACATCTGATGATTATAAGAAATCTTAACACTCTCAGTCTGACTATTGGGGGTGGGGGGGGGGGAGAAACATGTACTCATGCAACCAATGCCCTCCCAAAGCCCAATGCCCTCCTGCTAGTCTCTAAACTGTTGACTGATCTATTTTCTATTTTCTTCTCTCTTCTCATTATTCCCAAATATGATAATGGACAGATGCAAAAATGAAGCTGAACAAATCCATTTAAAAAACTGATCAAGTAAATGGTTAATAACTGTTCCATTACTAATGAGAACATATTACACCAATAATATTTATTGAAATTTATATAATGATAAATTTACTGTAAGAAGGAAGATTAATGTGAGATTAGCACACTTTTATATGTAGTTAACACTATAATGTTATCAATAATTTATATACAGTAATGTACTACTAGTGAAACTAGTGAAACTATATATCCCGGGTGATAGAAAAATGATAATTGGCAAACAGCCAAGTTGACAATTAAGTAACTGCTTCCTGATGATCTAATACATTTAAATGAAAATGATCTCTAAGACAACTGTAACCATTTCATTCAAATATAAATGTACATAAATTGTTAATTAACAGCATTTTTGAAAACTGAAATAACATTTTTATCTCTTGATTGATCTGTAAATTATGAAAGTTTGTGCTTTTTTTTACATTTTACACATTATGTTACAACCAGTAAAGTATTGTTAATTTCTGACAACAATTATATCCTCCTAAATAACCTTTATTTAACAAGGAAGACACACTAAATGAACAAGGAAGCTGCTCAACCTAGATAAAAATGAAACTATTTTTAATTGTTTTATTCACATCCTTCTTTAACTCTAGTTATCTTAAGTTTATCTTCTCAACCGACTGAGTAAATAATTGACCAAGTAAAGATATGACAATATAAGCTATTGTTAATTACAAGAAAAGAAAACAATAAGGAATATTTTCTTGGATAATCTAAACAATAATATTTATGCTTACAAAACAAAAACATACAAAAAATCAAGAGCTGTCAGAGGAAACAGCACGCTCGACTAATTAAATACTAGACGCAGTATAGGAAGATAAAAATCATGAAAAACAAAAATCAATTACAATATTAATATATTTCTGTATCAGTTCAAGAAAGCCCACAAAAGCTCTAATAAAAAAGACAATAATTTGAAATCTCAAGTTAATCTGCTTCAGAATCAACATTATGATTACCTGAGCAAGAAGTATGATATCATTTTTTAAAAGTAAAATTGCAAATTCAAAAAGAAACTCTTGAAAATAAAGATGCTAGAGTTATTAGCCTTGCCATGCATGATGTGAGTAATGGCAAAGAACAATTATCTTAAGTCTAGATACCATTTATAATAACATAGATATTACTTTAAAAAAAATATAGGAATTTTCCAATAAATTCCAAGTTCAAAAATTAAATTGAGATAATTCTGGAAATACAGATGCTAGCATTATAAATCTAACCACATAAGATAAAGGTGTTGATAACAAGCATAATGGCTCAGCGCAAAACTCAGCTAACACCATTTTTTGAAATTTTACAGGAGGGTGAAAAAACTGTCTAATTTTTTTCCCTACATGTATCTTTTAAATATTCTAATATTAATGAATCATGCTAAAGGCCTTGAAACTTATATGTTAAGTTATTTTATAGTGGAATTAATTCTTAATGGTTTAAATACAATATTTTTAGTTAGCATGGGTTTTGCACTGAAAATCAAAGACTTTCCTAAAAACAAGTTAGCGCAAAACTTGGATGAGTTTTGCACTTGCAAATGAATGATTTGTTGAAACTAAAGTTGTAAAATATGTGCTAAGTCAAGTTAACATAACATACAAATCTATTTGAACAAGCATTTGATAGTATTGCGGGCAATACAGTAGTCCCCTACCGGTCCCTCAAAAAGTTCTTTAATTGTCATACACTCCTGTGTATTGCCATTTATAATGAATTTGAGGATGAAGTCTGTATTTGAAAATATCAACCACAAAACATAATAAAATAAGTTTGTCTATATCACAGTAATGTGTTAAGTTTCCATGCTTAGTAAGGAAATTATGTTTATACAACCTTGTCATATTTATTACGATGTGGGATTTTTAAAGTAAATCCTATAAGGAATGAAGAAGTTGGAGTGAAAATACCAGTTTCTCGAAAAAAATCTAAGTTCAAGGGGGACATAATTCTGGAAATAGTCTTGCTAGAGTATTTAACCTTCTCAAAAATGTCGAGTGATAATAAGAAACATATATATGAAGTTTGAAGTAGATACATTAGGAAATAAAGAAGTTATTTAAAAAAGACAACATTTTTTCCCTAAAAAATCTAAGTTCAAGGGAGGTAATACTGATATTTTTTGTGCTAGAGTTATAAACCTTGTCACATATGATGTGGTTGATGACCAGAAACTTATATTTAAAGTTTGAAGTAAACACCTTAAGAAATAAAGAACATATAGTAAAAAAGCTGAAAAATTTAAATCAGAAATCTTGAAATTCAGGCTATTTGTTGCCATAGCAACCAGAATTTTCAACATAGGAAGAAAAGAAAAATATGTGCATAATCTCCAGACTGCCATCTACCCATATTTCAAGTTTCATAAAAATATTTTCAGTACTTTTTGAGTTATCACTGGATCCAGTTTATGTGTTAAATTTGCCATATTTTCAGACTATTTGTTGCCATAGCAACCAGAATTTTCAACATAGGAAGAAAAAAAAAAGACGTGCATAATCTCCATACTGCCATCTATCCATATATCAAGTTTCATAAAAATATTTTCAGTACTTTTTGCGTTATCGCGGGATCCAGTTTTGTGGACGGACGGACTGACGGACTGACAGACAGACAGACGGACAGACAGACAGACGGACAGACGGACGGAGGGTAAACCTAAAGTCCCCTCCGGTTAAACCGGTAGGGGACTAATTACATAATAAGAGGAAAAAATACATAAAATGAACATTCTGAAACAATTCAAATAATTTAATTGTCAAAATTGATATTTCTATTTCTCTATTAAATAGTTATTTAACAATGCAACTTAAATATGGCAATATTTGTAATTAGACTGAACATTATGTATTATACACTTGTAGTCTTATAAAATGGGAATGATGGGGATAAGGGATTATATCTGAAGTGAATATATAAATAAGACCTTTGTACACTTAATATGAAATGTAATTTTGGTAATTTTTGCACAAGCGATCAGAGCGCAATTTGAACTAAATCTTTGTGGTTCATTTTCTTCACATTGAATGTTTTTTGTTGTTTTTTTTTTTAAAGTGAGCTGCCTTTATACTTAACAAATATATTTGAGAAATTAGCTGATTCAATACTGGCATGGCACAAACTGTTTCTCATTTTAGTACAGGAGTATTTAATGTTTCTGTTCCTCTACACTAACAATAAATAGCATACCACATTATAGAAACAATGTTCTAATTTTGTTAAGCTTGGAAGTTATAATTATAGAGTACATATTGTTAATTCCCCCTTTTAAATGTTTCATCTTAAATATCAAAAGCTTAAATTGAAATTTCACTTGATCCAAATCTTTAAATGACTTATTCTTTGGGATGCAATAATATGATCAAATCCTTGTTGTTATGTACAGCAATACATTGTGAATTGCATTACATTGATTGCTATGAAAAAAATTAAAATGTTATTAAAAGCAGCTATGAACAGGTGTTTTCAATGTTTAAAGCTCTGCACCTTAATCATGTTTGAACTGTTTATATAATTATATAACATTAAAAGTTAAAACTTTATCAAACAATGAAAATATTTGGACTCATGACCTGGCTTATGTGATATTTACTGGTAGGAGTACGTAAAAGCCAGGTCCATAGACTTACTATTATATACTGTAAATTTAAAACAGAAACCTATGTATTATGAAATTCTACATTTGATAAATTTAAACAAATAAGAGTTATTGGACTTATGCCAATCATGTTAGATAATCACAGACAATAAGTGTGTAAAGTTTCAATCCATTCCTTTCAGTAGTTATGGAGATATCAGCTTTCATGCAAAAACTTAACCAAGAATTACTAAGTCAAAAGAATGGGGCATTATTATGCAAAAAAAAGCAAATCAGAGCTATGGGACTTGTGCCAATCATGTTAGATAATCACAGAGAACAAGTGTGTGAAGTTTCAATCCATTCCCTTCAGTAGTTATGGAGATTCCAGCTTACACCAAGAATTTCTAAGCATAAAAAAGAGGCATAATTATATCCAAAAATGCAAATCAGAGTTATGGGACTTGTGCCAATCATGTTAGATGATCACAAAAAACAAGTGTGTGGTACAAAATGAAGAAGTTAGTTTTTTTTAAAGGAAAATTCTAAGTTCAAAGGGAGATAATTCTAAATATATTGTTTGTAGAGATACAAACCTTTTCCCAGAAAATTTCAAACTTTTAATTTTAACACAACTGAGGGTATTAGAAATTATTACCCCTCACTTTTAATGTTAATTTTCCAAACTGTACCATGTGGCTAAGAAATTTGTATTGTTTATACATAGATAAAACTACTTTTTAACAGTAAAAATCTGGTCACATGGTTTATTTTTCAAAAAAAAAAAAAATTAAATGGCCTTCAATCATGATGGTGACCATATGGACTTAGTCGAACATGCATAAATTATGCTATTTTGTGCCTCATGATTTTGATTTGTTGTTTTATTTGTATGAAAGGTGATTTTTTGTTAATTAAGCACATGGATTGAATAAATAATAATCGGAGTGGAATAAATAAAAAGAACATTGAAAAAAAAAACGGTGAAAAGCAAAAATAATTGTATAATTTTCAAATACAGTAGATAAATATCAAACATAAAAGCGCAATCAATTAATAAGCCTTAATTAAAGCCTACCCAGGGACTGACAATAGAATGTTAAAATGCGTTTCACTTTCCTTAATGATGGACAAACTTCCATACCGTCGGTAATTGACGCAATTACTCAGGGACCAACAACAATACTTTTTCATTTTAAAGGTGTCGAAAATTAAACTTAATAAAAAAAAATCATCAAAACTTTGTTTTCTATTTCAACTGATGTTATTTGACTGCGACCAAACGCTATTTTTTCTTGGTCTTGAGATGACAAAGATCAATATTCGTACTTTTTTTAATGTAGCCAACACGGCGATTAATCTCTAAAAGTAAAAATCCTCGCTTAAAGTCATAAAATAACATATGCATTTTCGACTTCCATATAATTTTGAAAATGCCGTATGGCTAGCCAATACAGTTTGTCCTTGCTAGTCATATGTGACTCGCGTACGGCTAGAACTTTTAGCTAGCCGTACTGGCCCGTACAGCTAGCCACTTCCTTTAATAATTGGCATAAATAAATATCACTGTTTATCACCATCTTGTGCCGCGGTTTATGTAATAATGAGTGATTTGTTCAGAGACTTTAAAATACAATATTATATGTCTCTGGCTAGTTTAGCCCTAAAAAAAAGCCCTAAACTATAACAAGCCAGTAATGTCTGATAATTATTGGACAGTATGGCTTAAGTTAAGTTCTGGCCTCCAAAACTTTCTATTTCCTCATTTTCACATTTCTTCCTTTCGTCTATAATTTGTGACAGCAAAATTTTAATTGAACTTTCCTTAACATACACTTATTATAAGAAATTAATATAACTTGATATACGCTTTTTTGGAAAAAAATCATATTTCAACAATGTTTGAAGGATTCTTGCCATTCTCCACCCACTATGAATGCACAGGCGCTGTTACTCAACTGTAAAATATAGGTAAAATACCTTCACATTTGCAGTCAGCACAGCAACTATTTCCAGGCTTCTTTAAAAGTTCATTCAGAACTTGACGATTCCGCTCTGACATCTTACTATTTTGTATAATTCATGGATAATTATTTTACATTTATAAATCACAACACAACTTCCGCATTGAATAATGAAAAGCGACAAGATCATCCGAATGTACTTTACGCAGTACTGTTTTCAAATCATTTAAATACGTTGTAAATAGCTATTACTGCAACGGCTCCTCGATAGTATAGTGGTGAGTATCCCCGCCTGTCACGCGGGAGACCGGGGTTCAATTCCCCGTCGGGGAGGTGTCTTTTTTTCCCCTCCCCGTCAACCACTGTTTGTTGGCAAGGCAAGGAAATCTGTCTTTAATAATTTCATAAACATTCACTCAGGGCTCACGCTGTCGGTCGCCATAGTCGCCATTTGCGATTATTTTATAAGATTGGCGATTATTTTTGCATTTTGGCTACAAAATCTGGCGATTATTTTTTCTTCCAACAGTGTTTATATAAGGTGTAAAAATCGATAATGAATGCAGTAGACCCAATTAACACCAAGCGGGGTGCATTTAATTGAGTGTCAACTTTTTACCGGTCACGTGCGCTAACTATATTGCCCGAGGTGATAAATACATGCGAGATGTATAATTGTATAAGTACTATAAAAGATAGTGTCCAGCATTTATAATAATCGTAATAATTCTGACAAGATTTTGTTCAATAAACTTCGTAATGAGGTACAACGATCTATAAAATTGGCAAAATCTGAATACTTCAAAGGGCAAATATTAGATAATAAGAACGACAATAAGAAACTATGGCAGAATATCAAATCCCTTGGTTACAGTAACAATAAAAAAGAAAGTCCGAATATCGTTTTGTCGATTGATGGTGAAACTTATCACGATCCTTGTAGAGTTGCAAGTCATTTTAATAACTTCTTTACAAATATTGCATCTAATTTAGTACAGAAACTCCCGGCAGCAAAGAACTTTTATAGTGTGGCATCCGATACAATTAAGAATTATTATAGGAACATATCACAAAAAGAGTTTCACCTTCATCATGTAAGTGAGGAGTTTGTATATAAAGAATTATGTAGGCTTAATATAAGCAAAAGCACTGGATTAGATGGTATCCCTGCAAAATTTCTAAAAGATGGTGCTGATGTGTTAAAAATCCCTATAACTTATATTGTGAATTCTTCAATAACAGAGGGGGTTGTCCCAGATGATATGAAAAATTGCTAAAGTAAAACTCTACACAAAAAGAATAGTAAGCTAGATGTCGGGAATTACAGACCAGTTAGTATTTTATGTATTGTATCCAAGATTCTAGAACGGGCCGTGTATGTACAATTTGAGTCATTTTTAAGAACTAATAATCTAATTTACGAAACACCAGTCCGGGTTTCGGAAAATCTCATTCAACTGACACATGTCTTATTTACCTACTTGACTATATCCGTACAAATAGCTCCAAAGGGTTACTCACTGGTATGGTTATGATGGACTTACAAAAAGCTTTTGATACCGTCAATCATGATATTTTTGTGTGATAAATTAGATATATTAGGTGTCAAATCTATTTCTTGGTTTAAATCATACTTGTCAGGTAGGTATCAGAAAGTAAGTATTGGTAAAGTTTTTTCTGACTCAATTCCTATTACGTGTGGGGGGTCCCTCAGGGCAGTATTTTGGGTCCTCTTCTATTTCTCTGCTACGTTAATGACATGGTAACAAGTATCGATTCTGATTGCAAGTTAATTTTATATGCAGATGATAGCACAATATTATTTTCGCATAAGGATCCAAAAATTATAGCCCAAAAACTTGGAAAGGTATTGGAACGATGCTCAGATTGGGTTAGTTGATAATAAATTATCTCTACACCTGGGCAAGACTGAATGTATGCTATTTGGTTCTAAATCGAAAATTAATAAATTACAAAATTTTTCCATTTCATGTAATGATCAAACAATAAAGTCTTCGTCTGAAGTTAAATATCTTGGTTTGAATATCGATTGTTACCTATCAGGAGATAAAATTGTCAAGAGCATTCTTTCAAAGGTGAATGGAAGATTACATTTTCTATACCGTTACAAAAATTGTTTATCGAAGAAATAAAAAGAAACAGTTATGTCCTGCCCTTTTGCTGTGTCACTTTGATTATTCTTCATCTTCTTGGTACGAAGGACTGAGTAAGTCACTGAAGCACAAACTTCAAGTAGCTCAAAATAAGGTTGTGCGCTTTATAAAAGACTACACTCCTAGGGACTTCAGTGACAAATAAGGTTCTGTCCGATCTTAAATTATTAAATGTCAATGATAGAGTTAGACAGTTAAGACTCAACCACATTCATAAAGTTTATTACAACAAAAGCCCTTCCTATTTAAAGGAATTGTTTAAGGTTTGTAGAATATCCAATTTAAGATCCAGTAATTTTAATTTTGTTTTACCTCAAAATGATTCTTATGTTAAAAATACATTTTTCTACAATGCCATTAAAGACTGGAATTCTTTACCAGACAACATTAGATCAATTGACAATATCCAAACATTTAAAACGAAAGTAAAACTTTTTTTAAGTAATGAAAATGATAAACAAGTGAATAATATGTTTATTTATTATTAAATTGATGTGTAACTTATGATAAGGTTTTGAAACATGTTTATGTGTACTTTATATGTTTTAGTTTAAAAGAAACTTTTTTCATTTTGTTTGTGTACAATGTACTTGTGTTATTATATTGAAAAATGTGTTTTGATTATTGAAAATTGTCATTAAGTTTAACTTCTTTATAATTAATTTATCATTATGTAAGTTAGTGTAATAATTTTACAGAAAATGGACCCCATTGGAAATAAGCTTTTAGCTTAATGGGCAATCCTAGGGTTACATAGAACATACTTATTGATTAATCGTATAATTATTTTTGTGCATTTATGTGTGTGTTTTTATTTATATTCAAGTTGATATCTGTGATAAAATTGTATGTGTATACATGTATGTCTATTCCCTGAATAAATCGATAATAGCCATCAAATATCCGTCAATTAGCCACAAAAATCGTTTTAAAATTGATAAACTGGATATTGACTTACCCAAAATTTACCGTGAATTCCAGTAATTGCAAATTTTGATTTTTTTTTGTTTTAAGCTACTTGACTAAATCGCCAGTGGAAAACAATGGTAAAATATTTAAAAAGTATTAAATTCCAAACAACTATTTGCACAACAACCAAAATTGTGAATATTTCTTCAGAAAACAGGAAAAATCCGATTGTCACATATTTTCGCGACACCGATAATTTTGATATTAATTTAAAGGTGAAATAAGCTATATTCTGTTTAAAAATCTTTACTACTATGGCAGAAAATTTGTATTTCATTGGTGATGATGATATTTTTCAGTAAATTATTCAGAAAAAAGGCTGCATTCTGTGAATGAGTTTGCAAACTTGTGTTATTTCTATAGGCTAATATGACCTAGATCTACTCCAGTTCTGTGTGAAATGTGGATATTGACAGTGGTCATGGTGGTTATAGCTGACAAAATTTGATTAGAACAAACAAAAAAAGTTGTCTGATAACAGCATTATGTAAAGTTATAATGAATCTTTAATATTATTGTTATACAGTAATTATACTAATTATAACGTTTTTATTCTGTTCTATAAGTAACAATTAAAGTTGTGGTTCTATTTAAAAAATGATAGTTATCAATATACACAAATGTATCAGTTTATTTGAGAATCCTTATAAAACTAAAAGATATAAATGTAATGTTTATTTAATAAACTGCTTATGTTGTTAATCACTAATTCGTGATAGTCCGCTGAACTTTTGGCTATTATTTTTTTAAGTTGAAATTATTGGCTATTATTTTATTTGAGCCAGTGTGAGCCCTGATTCACATAACATGTTGGTCATCCACTATAATTATTTAAGCTTTCTTATAAATCGTACAATAATGGCCTACGATTCTTGAAATATGTCAATTAAAGACTGTTAACAAAGCAGTGCAAAAAAGGTGATAACTTTTTAAATGACAAAATGAAAAATTCAAGGATAGTGCCACAGACACCTGGGTGTGGAGCTCAAAAATATACATTTTATTTGGAATTCAAATGGGTTTTGAACTTTTGATCTTAACATCCCAAGTGTTTGTGAATAGTGCCATCTTCTCCACTACTAGAACAATTTTTGAAGATTTAACTGTTTCAAGATTTCGAGATTTCTTCATTGAATATATCAGTCTCATCAAGACTTTCCGAATTTCAACCCTCAACCAACTCACTCTAGTATAGCATCACAGTCTCTATCATTGTTATTTCAAAATGTTGTACCCTATTATCATTAGAAATAGTTATTTTGATTTGTTGTTTTTTTCCCTGCCATTTTCTTTTTTCTGAAATGATTTAGAGTCTTGTACATTTTCAAGTTCATGTAATTGCTTTGAATGAAAAATTTGTTTTATTTTTTCATATTGGCTTTTTTAAAATATTCTGACATGTTTATACTAACCTACATTACTGTCATTTGGATTTCGTCTATATTCATGCAATCGTTTATCTATATATATTTATTTTCTCAGAATTGGCAGTTTAACAGCAATAATAAAACCATCAATTTTAGAGTTTATTTGATTTTCGTCTACAATCAATACCTTTACAGTATAGACCGCATATTGAAATATATATGAGCCGCGTCATGACAAAACCAACGTAATGCGTTTGCGACCAGCATTGATCCAGATCAGCCTGCGCATCCGCGCAGTCTGATCAAGATCCATGCTGTTCGCTATCAGTTTCACTACTTGTTATAGACTTTGTAAGCGAACAGCATGGATCCTGGTCAGAATGAACGAATGCGCAGCCTGGTCTGGATCCATGCTGGTCGCAAACCCATTATGTTGGTTTTGTCGTGACACGGCTCATATTTAAAGATGATGTTTACAAACATTGACTCGGTAAATGCTTCCAAACTTAGGTACTAATGTATAAAATTGCTAAGACTATCACTGACCACAGCTTTTTTCATGTTAAAAGTTTGAATTCTGCTTAAGCCGGTGCTACGAGGCGTGGACGGTTACTTGCACTTTTCCGTCCATGAACAGGCTCGCAACATTTTCCATTTTTTTTTTCGATTTTGGCGCT